AACGCCGCCCATTGACATTGAGTGTTGCCATCTATTTATAAAGTGGGTCCCACCTCACTTCACTCACCACACGAAACGCAGAAGTATAACACTTGACACTGGTCTTCTGTGAGGTTGTGGTACGTACCCGGACAGACCTGCCCATTCGTGCAACAGCGAAGGTTGTTCAGTGGCCCTACCGTAAAAATAATATATTAGTTTACGAATGAGGAGTAGTCACAGCTGTTTCAAGGTTATTAGCCGTACTATAAAAACACTGTCCGCCTTTAATTGAGTTAATTTTAGATATATTAGTAAAATTTTAATGTGCAAGTCAATTTAGTTTGTAGGCCGTAATAAATAATGATAAAGATATTTGAAATTCCATGTTTAAATGCATTTATTTATATGTAGTGCAACACGAAACAACAGTGAATTAACGCGGTATTCAAATGAATATACGGAGATTGGCCGGTGGAGTGGGTACTGTAATGAGGAAACGTAATTTGTGCTAATAAATCAACTGCGCCCATGAGATTGTGAGCCGCGAAGAGTTGCTTCAGTGATAATGACCACAATTACGTTGTATTACGCGCGACCCCACCTTCTTGAGCATTGCGTGTTGCAATCGAACTGGGAACACTGTCATGTTACGTTTTACTTGGTTAAGTTGTACAGAACGGTCTGTACTTAGTAGTATTGGTATTTTGTTGCGAATAGGTTGGACAGTGAGTCCCAACGACTTTGAAAGATCTATTGTAGTCCACCTTTCGAAAACATTGCCAACTTACTCCTGCGATACATACATTACACGTGGCCAGACAACCCGATCGGAAACAGTTATCTGTTGGTCATACAAATGGTTGTCTCGTATGGGAATCGAACCCGCGGAGTCCTCGGCCTATACGTATGTCCCAAAGCTAGACAAAAGCCTTCCCCTCCTGACCTTAACCTTAGACCTTTCTAATGAGGCTTTTTGGGCAAAGATGGTTTTCTTTGGCTTCTTTGCTTACCGGCGGAGGGTTAGTGTACAAATTTTATTGTGTTTATACCATATATGTTTATTGTGTACATATATCATCACGTGCTCAGCGGTGAAGGAAAACATCGTGAGGAAATCTGCAGGAAATAATAAAAATAAATATTTCGAAGATATGTGAAGTCCGCCAATCCGCAGTGGGGCCGCGTGGTGGACTATGCCCTGATACCCTCTGTATAGAGGAGGCCTTTGCCAAGCAGTGAGACCTGTATAGGCTGATAATTTACTTTTTACATGCCATATGTAGTGCCCACGACTGGGCTGGGTGTGATGGAAACGAACCCACGCGCTCGACACGCGCCACACGGCTACCACTGATTACCATCCAAACACTATTATTGTAAAAAGGGGACCTCTATCATGAGGGGATAAGATAACCGTACGAGCGAATAAAACTCGCCCGAGTTCATTGCCCTCTACAGTAAGTGGATTGTCATACGCAAAAATTCTGACACAGGTCGGGAAATCAGCGGCGATCGTTGTGATTTTGGCTTGCTATTTTTAAAATGAATCTTATCCTTTAAACGAGCAATTCCCTGTTTTCAGGGAAAAAAAATATCATTCGATATCACGGTAACTTTCGCCGCAAAAAAAAATGTTATAATAGCTCGGTCGGTAATCGGGCGGCCCCAAAACAAACGGCCGCGGTACGTATCATGATCATTTACACACTTATTTTTTTACTTTTTTTTCGATTCCAGATCATTGCTTTCTTTATTTTTTATTTTTTTGTCGATTTGTTATTTTGTTATTTTTTTTCCTTTTTTTAAAATTCTTTTGTGATAAACACCAGTTCATATTTTCTTATTATTACGTCGGTAAGATCGAAAAATGTTATGCATATTTCATTACTCAGTAATTTGTATCTAAATGTAATTTCCAAAATATACGATTTACCAAAAAAAAAAACCGAGCAAAGGTCCTCCAGGTACTAATTATTATTAGCCCATATTAAAAGTTACTTTAAGTTCGGTCAAATGATACATATAATTTTACTCAATTATTTAATGAAAACGTGTTTTGACGAAGCGGAAATTGGTTAATGCAGCCCTTAGATTTTAGTTTGGTGACCCCGTCTTGACAGTGAAATATTGACATTGTTATTAGTGTGAAGATATTAATGTGAATTAAAATATTTAACAAAAATAAAAAAGTTGCTATGTTTAGTGACAATCTTTGCGAGCATAATTTTTTATACTTCGTTAAATAGTACATCGTCCAATAAAGGCTGTCTATCAATAGATTTCGTTGTGTTGAATTACGTTTTAATTCCCTAAGTTTAAAACCCTTTGAAGAATGCGTCATGGGTTCGACAACAAACCTTTTTAATGGCTCTGGTTAAACGGCCAATGCTTTTCCAAGATGTGTAGGAGATAGGCAGGCTCCCATATCCATAGTTTTTATACTTTGAAATCGATTGACCGAAATCTGCTTTTATAAAAATAATTTTCGTCTCGCTATGTAAAGCAATGCCTCTGCCCTCGGATAGCTTTAAAAAAAGCATTCATCATTCCCCCGTCATGTACTCGCGCATAGAGGATTTAGCAATAACACTCGCAGATTTCGTACTGTGTAATCACTGTTTCGACAATCGATTCTGCTCGACCTTTGCTTGGTGGCCTCACGGTGCGTGCCTCTAAGCCCACTCAAAGTGACCTCAGAGTGACCCTGACACGCCTGCGATTCGGCGAGATCTGCGCAAGAATTTGCACCACCTTAACAGTGTCCGCCGCACACCACAGCGCTAAATTAAATCTCATCAATATGTCGTATTTAGGCGACCACTAGTTTATTTTTATTTTACTTCATTCGCAATTTACACATTGTTCTGGCCCATGATAAGCTCGCATATAGCGTCAAACCAAAAGCATATCACTATCTAGATAACGTTCTTGGGTAGTTTAAATATTTTCTTAGGTTCGTATTTGCAAAGCCCTGCCTATTCGGCGAATGATCAAGATAATTGTTCTGCACCACATATTTGGTGAAATATTTGTGGAAGATATTTGGTATACCTTAGGAATACATTACATTAGTTTATTATTATAAATTTTTAGATAGCTCGGTGGCGCAGGGGCTAAGCTATTCGCGTCAGCGCCGTGAGTCATGGGTTCGATTCCCACACCCACAAGCTACTAGCCATCGTTGTGTTTAACAATCGTTATTTGTACTATTAGGTCCATATTAGAAGTAGTTATTACATAATAATTCCCTCTGTTGTCGCAAAGCAATATTAAAACGGAAATAGCAATTTGCTGCGTAGAAACTTCGGCATTGAGCTGTTGTACATTTTATCGATGCGAAAAACAATAAAATTTTCAGGCGCGCGCTAGTTTTTAATCGATCCACGCGACCGCCTGTTTTAATTCGAGGCTATGAAAATAGTACATTTTCTCTCCCGTAAACAAGAGCCTTATGCGTTAGTAAATTACGACGTAAAATAAAAAATGAGATGCGATTTTCATTTAAAGTATAATAACACATAATTTAAAGTATAATAACATATAATTTGAAGTATAATAACATATAAGAGCCGTGATAGATCAGTGTTCCGGGCGCTCGCTTTCAATATACTCGAGCAACCGAGTTCAAATGCCAGTGTCGGCACCAATGAAATAGCTAATTTTAATTACTGATATCACCTGCTCTGCGATGAAGGAAAACATCGTGAGAAAACTTGCATATTTTTGAAATAACAACAAAAAAATATTTCGGAGGTATGTGAAGTTCGCCAATCCGCAGTGGGGTCGCGTGAAAGACTATGCCCTAATATCCTCTACACAGTGGACGCCAGCAATGCTCATATACAGGGAGAATTTACAAGAAGTGCCCAAATATACACAGATAGTTCAGACTCGGTAGTATAATCGTTTATTGAAATAAAAACAAGCTTTTTTTTTTCAAAAAAATTGACATACTATTCCCTAAAAAAAAACAACTTGTTGACAATGCGGATAGTCATTCATAAACACCTAAATTTTACTGTGCACGCACACAAACTAAACTAAGCGTTTGAACGCCGCCACCGTGCCGGCACGGTCTAGAATTTAATAAAAAAATGGATACACTTAGAAAAGCCTCCCTGTATAGGTTGCTATTTTATTTTACTTTCAATAACACAAATGGTGCAAGGTAAATGCATAGCTGGAAATCGAACCTGTGACCGCCTCTGTATACCACGGTTGATAGGCATATGTCCCACTGCTGGGAAAATACTTCGTTACTGAAGACTTATTAATTTAGCTACATCGGACTATTCCCTACGTACGATACCTATAGTCTGAGGTAGATTACTGCTTTTAACCCTTTAAAATTGTTTAAAATACGCGGACTTGAATTATACACGAAATGTTTCTGTTATAACTTCTTAATAAGCAAACCTCTTAGTAAACCAAGCAAATTTTAACTAGTATATTTGAAACTTAAATGGGACTTTATATATAGACAAATTGTTTTATTGAAAATTTTTTCGGCGTTTTCGCAGGATTCTGGGTAACCCGTCTAGATGTTTTTTTAAGTTTAAATGTTTCTTGTTCATACGGATTAAATAATGTGACTGTTACTGAATGTAGTAAATGTCACTGACTTCATGAATATAATCTAAATTGTGGCTGCAGATGAATCGAGATACAATTTTTTTTATGTAAGAAGATGGCGTTCACAGCGACAGTTCACCTGATGTTAATTGATAACCATCGCCCATGGACATTTGCAACATCAACCATCTCCAGACGCAACGCTGAAGTATAACTCTTCCACTTTACACCGGTCTTCTGCGAGTTTGTGGTAATTCCCCGGTCGGGCCAGCTCATTCCTGCAACAGCGAAAACTCTTGGGTGGCCATACAACGGTTATGTTTTCAATCTATATATTTCTGACGTATCCATGTAGCAAACGCAAACTTGGACAAGCAAATGTCGAGATAGAAAATACAGAAGCAACCAATAGACAATATTAAACGGGGCGATTTATTTTTTCGCAGAAAGCTGATCGTTTGCCATTACAAGAAGGGAACGGAGATTTGCAACTACAGCTATAGCAACACCATACTCGCCGTGAAGCTCAACCGATCCGTGAGTAACCAATGCAGCGTAACCGCCGTAGTAACCGCTGCCCTTGGGATACTGTTTTTTTATGTGAAAAGTTGCCAAGAGAGCAGACGGTTCACCTGATGTTAAGTGAATACCGCCGCCCATGGACATCTGGTACACCCGTAGATTCCAGATGCATTGACAACCTTTTGAAAATTGGGCTCTGGCCACCTCAATCACCAGACGAAACGCGACTTCACGCCGGTCTTTGGTGAGGTCGTGGTACTTGCCCGGACGAGCCTGCCCATTCGTGCAACAGCCGAGGCTGCTGCGTGGCCCTTCCAGCGGTATCTATTGTCTTGAAGTGTTCACTCCATTGGATTTGGAGTCGATTTTTGTCGTCTGCATGTACTGTGGTAGGGGCCACCCAACAGCTTCGGCTGTTGCACCAATGAGCAGGTCAGAAGTGGCAGTGTTACACATCTGCGTTTCGTCTGGTGAGTGAGGCAGCCGGGGCCCATTTTATCAAAAGTTGGCAACGCATCTGCAACCCTACGGGTGTTGCGAAAGTCCTTGGGCGGCGGTTATCACTTACTAAATGTAGGCTGTTTGTCGATTCAGTTTTGGTCGTCAATAGCAGTGCCTGCCTGTACACGATGGCTACTTTGCCCCTTATCGTCAATAAGCTAATAAAAAGCGTCGGCGTTTTGATAAAAAGAGTGATTTATAATAATATCGTTATTGAATACAATTCATGATACAGGCCTCGGCAAATATGAAGGCCAGATGGAAATAACTTTGATATTTTGCTATTTTACGATTGCATTTTTATTTATAACCAGTGATATTTATTGTTACGGGTATTGAAAGATATAGATGTACTTTCGAGTCCCGGCCTTGCACTAGAAGAAATGTACAGCTTATCTGAGATTTTAAAATTATGCAATTTAATTAGTAGCCGTTATAGCTCAGAATACGGGCGCTCGCTTTTAATTCGACATACCAATGAAATAGTTAATAATTACAATTTTAACTGTTGACTTATTATTAATAAAAATTATAAAAAACAATTTAATAATAAAATAATATGGTGGACTGTGCCCCAAATACCATCTCTACAGAGGAGAAATCGCCCAGCAGTGGGACATACATAGGCTGTCACGTTATACCATATTATCACGCAAACGCTCTGTTCTCGTAAACACCACGGGCGAACGGATTGCAGCGGCTGATCGTGTGCCTCGAGGAGTCGCTGCACATCCACAACATACGCGACATGAAGATCCTGCACACGATCCGCGACACGCCGCCCAACCCGCGCGGGCTGTGCGCCCTCTCGCCGAGCGTGGAGCGCTGCTACGTCGCCTACCCCGGCTCCAGCGCGGTGGGTGAGGTGCAGATCTTCGACGCGGTGCATCTCAACGCCAAGTGCGTGCTCAGCGCCCACGACAGCCCCTTAGCGGCACTAGCGTGGTCGATGTGCGGCCGCCGCCTAGCGACCGCCTCCGAGCGGGGCACGGTCATCAGGGTCTTCGCCGTTCCGGAGCGCACTCGGCTCTACGAGTTCAGGCGCGGCGTCAAGCGCTGCGTCAGCATCGGCTGTCTGGCGTTCAGCGCCTGCGGGCAGCTGCTCGCCGCCACGTCCAACACGGAGACGGTGCACGTGTTCCGTCTGGGCGAGGCGCCGCCGGCGGACAGCGAGCCAGCCGAGGGCTGGATGGGCTGGCTGTCGCAGGCGGTGACGGCGGGCGCTGGCTACCTGCCGGGCGCGGTGGCCGATGTGCTGGCTCAGGGGCGCGCCTTCGCCGCGGCGCGCCTGCCCGCTTCGGGCCACCGCGCCGTCGTCGCCATCACCAAGTGGGTGGTTTTGGTTTACGTCAGCGCACCCCTCAACGTTCCGATGGTAGTTTGTTCGACGCTTGGATTGTTTAGATCTCATTCAAGCGCGTCGAAAGCTACATATACAGAAATACAGTCAGAATAATTAATCATCCAAGTCAGGCCTGTGATTCCTTTTAGTGTTTGCCGGATTTGGCCATCCACATCCACTTGAACAATTCTCCCCATGTACAATAATAATATACAATGAACTCAGCACATCATTATAACTCACATACTTAGGGTTTAAAAAATACCCCTGACTTACACTTCGTCTTGTGGGTTATTGAATTTATTTGTAGTCTTTATTAGTTAAATGCTGCTTGTTCTAATGTGAGACGTTTCGTTCCGATTCACGTTCGTACGTGTCCCGTTTAACGTGCGCAGCGTGGCGAAGGGGGCGGGCGGCGGCGCCGGGGGGGCCCGCCTGCTCGTGGCCACGTCGGCCGGCGTGCTCTACGTGTACGCGCTGCACGCCGCCGAGGGCGGGGACTGCACGCTGCTGCGCACGCACGCGCTGCTCGAGCGCGCCCACGACGCCCACGACGCCCACGACTCCCACGACGCGCACGACGCCCACCAAGGTACGCCAACGCCCACGCCCACGCCCACGCCCAACGCGCGCGCCCCCTTTGCACGTGTGACGTGACTCGGCACGACGTGACTGTTGCCATTGCCGAGACATTCGGACTGGATCTCTGTCACGCCACGCAGTGTCAGACAACTGCGTCACTAACCCCTTACGTGATCATTCCATTCGTAGGGCTTTGAGTTCTCACATCGAATCATTGCATGATGTAGCATCGGTCCGAGCGGGACCCATGCCAGTAAGAGGAAAGAAGAGAAGAAAAAAAGGGATGGAAGAGTAGTTTTGTCTCTCCGCTTGTATTGTGTGTGCGCCGCAACAACGGGCCCGGCGCGGAGCCCGGCCGCCATCGGCCGCGGCTCCAAACCTCCGCCCTACAGACTTTTCCTACCCACTCAAATGAAACTCGTACTTCTCAAAATACCACTCCTTTTGCATTCCCCACGCTCACAATGCCACTATACTCTAGTGCTCGCAGAAGTCATCCTAACTATACTCACGAATAGTTGTCAAATCTCAACACTCAATATCTACATGTTTATTTTTACGTACATCTGTCATCATTTCATATTCATGTATTTAATTTGTATCGTTCCGAAGCTTTTTAAATAAATCACTTCTACTTCGATACTTTCAATTGCTACTTTTAATGGTTTTTCAGTTTTTCTTTAGTTACATCGTCGCCTAGATTAATCATAACTTATGGTATGTATGTATATTTACATTTAGAATTATTGTATTGATATATTTATTGCTATTTGATTAGAGCGCGGTACTTAAGCTAGGACCCGTCGCTCCCCGACTTGTCTCTAATTGAAGCGGACCACCACCGTCACATCTTGTATTGTCGTCAAAGAATAATGAAATCGTCTCACAAATGGGCGTCTCATAAACGCTTCCTTTATTTTCCCCAATAATGGGGCAATCACAAAACTAAACAGCAAATTCAATATTTCCACTCGAGTCTGTAAAATTGTCGTGAGTGTAAAAATTGACTTAACATTAGAAGCTCCGTCCTATACACGTTAAGGAAACGCGTCAGAAATTGAGACCTCCAGGTCGCCGTCGACAGAAAATAGGATCAGATTTTCGCAAAACGCCACCGGCGCTATGAGCTAGGCCGTCGCGGTCGCTCGGCTCGGCCTCGCCGTCGTTGGTTCGACAAGTTGCCGGGCATGGTGTGCGCGATTTGCGAGGGTAGGTGGTCGCGTGGTGGTCCGCGGCTGATGTGCCCCCGCACTCCCCCAGCGCCGGCGGGTGGCAGCTACGCGGGCGCCCTCCGCGGCCGTCGGCCGGACCACATGACAGGTACCCCGCACACGCACACCCCACACCACCCAGCACACCCGCCCAGCACACCCTCCGCTTCACCCACTAACACCCAAGCCGGCGCCGCGGCGCGCTCGCTCCGGCCCAGCGCCGCAGCGAGTGTTGCCCTCTCGTGTTTTCGGTTCTCTTTCATTCTTTCTCCCCCTCTCTCTTAGATCAGAGCCACCCGCGGCGGAGTAAGTATATCGGCGATCGGATTTCATCTGTATTGCGGTATGAAGGGATTCCCGCTGTGTTCGCAACTATTCTCTTCTGACGTTTTTGTTTGTGTCTAGTCTTAACCAGGTCGGTTGAATACGGTTTCCTTTGATGCCGCAAGATACGAGGTTGACACTGCGCATGATCACGACCTTCGTCGAAAGAAGTGTATATCTATAATTATTCTATAATATATATAAATATTTGCATGTATTACGGTTAATTTCCAATTGCGATGAACGCATTTTATTGCCATGAGTCAGTCTCTGATTTGCGACAAGGAACATTAATAAAACATGCCCGATGTTTCGTTGATGTTTTTCACCTTGGTTTAATTCATCGATTAATTAATGAACGTTTCAGCTAGACACTTTACGAATATCACGTCGAAATACTATTCTAGAATTCGATAATTGCACTCAATCTTTGAATAATTTAACAGATGTTATTTATCAAACAAAGGTAGGTGTCCAGCTGTACGAATAGACGCTTCCAACATTAAAAACATTAAGTACCGATGTTGCTTTATCGATGCAAGTTTTAACTCTACTAATAACTAACTAATTCAAATGCAAGTCCTTTCGAAAATGATGAATACGCATTATTCTCTATTGCTACATGCCTCGAGTGACTGGGAACCACATTACAGCAAAGCTTTTGACCAAGGTACGAGTAAAAACTTGCTGTCTATTGCAACTTTGTGCAACGTACACAGTTCAATATGAAACAAAACTATGTTATAAATTGAACATTCGGTTGGTAGTGGTGATGGCAACAAAGTGTAGTACAATGGCAACAAAGTACAGTTTTTTTAATAGATTTTCTTAATTTGAGATGTAAAATAATTGTATTTTTTGGATAGGAAGTGTTGCACACAGTTCCTAATTAATATGTTCTTTTGGCGTTTGTACATAGCGCGCGGCACAACCAACTCTCCTTGTAAGATGTACGTGATAAAAGTAGAAAACAGTTGTGAGGAAAAATCAAAATTGTATCTTGGATTACAACGCAAATATCGTGAAACTTTTATTTCGAACTTAATTTATCGCGTGCAATGTATATACAGCGTGTCGTTACCACCGCGACAATAAATGAACACACAAAAATATTAACGTTAAAAAAATCCTAATTAAGTAAAAAAGAAACAAAAATTGTAACATCCTATAAAACTACAACTGACTGATTCATATATTCGTTGCTACATCGTCGCATTACAAGGCTCTCCTTCTAACAGTATGTTTTGTCTCTTTTAAATTCATTCAACCCATTCATATGCTTTGTGACCTTTACAAATGAACTTTACGTTACAGTTTTATACGTAAGGATGTTCTAAAATTCTTTGTTTTGGAAAATTTTATAACTATGTAAATATTGATGTTTAAAGAATGTAAATGTTTAAAACAATTTTAAAAAGCTATCCTCTAATATGTGTGTTCATATATTGTCGCGATTGTAAAGACACGCTGTATATGTATTTCTAATGGTTAGTTAGGTGGTTGTCGCGCCTTTTGATCCGAAATGTGTTGGATGTGAACGGTTCAACCAGTTTTATATCCACGGTTAAACTATTTTATCATGGACGTCAGCATTCACTTATATTTCACTGCCGATGTCACGGATTCACTATGAAGTTTAAACGACTGCTGCCTTTGAAACTAGTTCATCCACGATATCCACGCAAAGTGAACTGAGGGTTCACGTGATGTTAATTGCGACACCCGTAACGTTCAGATGCGTTGCCACCTTAATGAAGTGGGCAGACGAAACGCACAAGTGTATCACTTTCACCACGCGCCGGCCCTCCGCTAGGTTTTAGTACTTCCCCGGATGGACCTGCCCACTCGTGCTGCAGCTAAGATCCACCGCAGTCGGATGAGCTAGTTTGCGGTGGTCGCCACGACGGCTACGCCGTAGCGGCCGTAGACCCATTGGCGGCGTGTGCGTGCAGATTCGGAGCGCGCGGCGGAACTGGGCGCGGCGGTGAGCGGCTCCCCGCCGAGGGGCGCGGGGGGCTTCGACCTGCGCGACCCCTCGCACTTCCCGCCGATGCGCGCCCCCCACGCCCCCGCCCCCGCGCCCCCCCCCGCACAGCGCCGACTAGCCGCCCCTCACCCGCCCCTCCAACAGAACACGGACCGACACCCGCCAGGGATGGCGACCGGCTAATCGTTTGACCGACAGCTTCCTCGGATAGCGGCCTGCGAACAACTTCTCCAAAAAGCCGTACAGGGGGCGAAACTTGGCTCTCCATTTGGTCCAACCATTCGCATCGGCTCGTGCAGTCGATATTCCTGCATATTATGTCGAGTTGTTTGCTGGCCACTATCGCCCTTCAGTTTCGTTTGTATTTCGCCGGACGTATTGCACTTAATTGCATAAGCAACTCTTTGAGTGCAATCTCGGCGTGTAAATTTTTTCGCATTATAATTTCATAATGCTTAGGAATAGCCAAGAGCTAAAATTCTATTCCCCGCGGGTGTCATAAAATGAATAAGATGTATTAACTATATGACATTTAATAAATAAACACATTAAACTAATCAAATCCCGCAAATGTCGCGAACAGAAAATGTTTTCCTAAAAGTACAGTTAATAATACGACGGATAAAATTGGCCCCGCGTGCCTTTTTTCTCCTGGCCACGTGGGGCCAACGGTTGACTATAGCAGAAATTATATGTACGAATAGTATAATGTTATTTTACAATTCCTTAAAATAACTGTGGCATAATCTATGGAAAAAAGAATTAAAAAAATGTCTCCAGTAATTCGATTTAAAGAATGGATTATTTCCAGTTGTTCTATTTTGTTGTGTATGTGTGATCAAGTATGTGCACAGGGTACATCTTGTGTCACAATCACGAGGTCGATAGTTCATAGATTATTACGCTATTGTAACTGTTTACATCTTCGATTGTACTCTGATGTATTTTACATTGTAATATTTACATAATGTAACTTGTAATCTTGTTTTTTTTTGACCCAGAGACGAGCTTCTGCTTGTCACTCGACGTTTTTGAATTCTCGGTATTACTGATAATCTTAGATTTTCTTCAGAATGTGATTTTATTACCAAATTGTATGTATTATGTAATTCAATTATATTAAAAAATTACTTGAGCGTTGTATTTTGTGATTTTTATCAGCTTATTATGGTTTTGTAAATTTTTGGTGACAGCAATGGTAGTTGTAAGACTCAGTAATTAGGAGTGAAAATGTAGCAATACACCCGACCGGTATTGATGTGTTTTTAAAAAAAAATTATATCGATTTGTGAACTCTGCGAGGAGTTTTGTACATAAGTATATGTAAACTAGGAGGCACGTGTAAAATAATTAATCGTTAGATTATTCAATGTGATAGCAACTATACGGCGAGTGTTGTTTGGACGTTTGAACGCTTGAGTGTCTGTGACCGGAGCGAGGACAAGTTCTCGTCCCGCGTAGATTTAACAAAAAAAAAAATTGGCAAAACGATCTAAATTGTAAATAAAAAAATATTAATAAACGGAAGCGGATAAGCTTACAGCTGTCCACGGTACGCACCGCGCACATTGCCTTTAAGACTATACGCTTAGCTAAGACTTCTGCACGATAGTACGTCTAAGCGACACTGCATTGTGACTGCAGTTCGAAAGTACATTGCGAATTTACAATTTGACTGTGCATTGTGACTTCACAGTTCGAATGTAAATTTTGATGTTACAGTTCGAATGTAAACTGTAACTTTACAGTTCGAATGTGCATTGTAACTTTATACTTCGAATGTACATTGTGACTTTACAGCTCGAATGTAAATTTTGAGGTTACAGTTTGAATGTAAACTGTAACTTTACAATTCGAATGTGCATTGTGACTTTACAGCTCGAATGTAAATTTTGATTTTACAGTTCGAATGTAAACTGTGACTTTACAGTTCGAAAGCGCATTGTAACTTTATACTTCGAATGTACATTGTGACTTTATTACACTTCGAATGTACATTGTGACTTTACAATTTGACAGTACATTATGATTTTACAGTTCGACAGTGCATTGACGGTACACGTGGCTTTAAATGCGCAAGTACAGCCCAACTGTGCGCGGTGCGGAGAGCGCGGAGACAACTTTACGAGAATATGATGCAAAATGAATTTTAACAGTCATTTCTGCACGTATGAATAACCGTTAACATTCATATACTTTCTCATTCAATAAAAAAATTATTTATGCTGCTATCCGCCACTATAAAGAGTGCTGATTTCGAAACTAATACAATGATATCTAAGAATGTTGTAATAAAACTTTGTTTTTAAAATTAACAAAATTCATATATTACCTTGACGTGGATGTATTCACCTATGTTTTATTTTTGGGCATATATTGCGTACTTCCATCAAAGGTACGACTTAATTTTAGGCATCCGATACGCATCTTTCGTCACCGCGCTCTGTCCCGGCACGCTTAGATACTAAATTGTACATAATGATTAAATAAATAAATATTTTTACAAAATCCACCAGTTGGTTTTACTACCCTTTTCCTACACACAGTTATGTTCTTTTTTGTAATGAGAACAACAATTTGATACGACTCCTTTCTCATCCAAGACCACAAAGCAGCAGTGTTTTCGGTGGTTAGCGAGTTTTAGGAGTTTAAAATTAGTAGTAGTAATTTTTCATTGTAGTAGACACGCGCACAACTACCCGTTGAACGAATGGGCAGGCTCGCCTCGGAGGTACCACGGTCTTAGAAGTATTGAGGTTTCGCGTTTCGTCTCACTGAAACGGGGCCCCACTTTTTAAAAGATTGCCAAAGTATCTGCAAGCTCAGGTCTTGTAGGGATGTCGAAAGTGAAATATATCGATATTTATAAAAGATATCAATATCGGCCTAGATATATCGATGAATTATCGATATTTTCTCTTTAGGCCCCGTTGTCCAAAAGAAGGTATATCAAGTATTAAAATACTCTATTTGAAAAATGTAGCTTTTATGGGATTTCGATATTAAATATTTTGTATCGATATTTTTTCGAAATTGTAGCCAACATCACGTGAACCGCCAACTCGTAACTTGTTGAAATAAATAACAAATAGAAGAGTTTTCAGTTTCTTTGCTTACTCATATATTATACTATACATTTTCCATGGCTTCACCATTGTAGATTATAAATCGAAATTTGCTGTTCCATCTTTATAGAAAAACGTAATTTTTTAGCCGATGCACTGTTTAAATGGAACAAATAATCGCATTTATGATATCATCGCTATTTTTTGGGGTATGGGAAATAAAATCAAACACATTATCGCGTACAACGCACACTATATTTATCATTTCTCTCTTATAAAATGCGCCACGATCCCCGCACAATATAAATATAATAAATTAACATTTCATGTACATTAAAGTTGTCTAAACGTTGCAAAGGGCTGTGCAAACGGGCGGTTAAAAACCGCACGGACGGCTTAAAAACGCGCGTCTGTTTATCATTACGAATTCTTGAGTTTTCGCAACAACATCAGTGGGAAATGAAATTTGAATGGGATTTATTTAATCTTAGACATATACTTTTAAAAAATCAGCAAATTCTAGGACCGCCGACGGCGGATGAGATTGTTAGATTGTATTATCGAAAGCCGAGACTATTTCAAACTTTTATTGTATCCCATCGTAAAAAACCAACGAATTTCGCTGCATTTTGAAGTTTCTCGAAAATCGTTGCTTTACAATACGCGAGACGACACGGTCGGTCTAATATTATACATATTTTTATAATCCATTCCATAATAGAGAACGAAACAATCGATGTACGCAATTTTCGCGGATTTTCTTAGTAAAATAATGCAACCACATAAATGCGTGGCTGCTCTCCGTCGTGCTCACGTCCAAACAAGTACAAGGGAACAAGTAGACAAATCTCTCTACCCTTCTAAGCCGCAACACATAACGATAACTAAATTACAGGACAGTCATAGAGGGCCGTACTCGGGGAAAATAACATAAAACGGGCCGATGACCAATTCACTGGGATTAAATTCGTTTTTCTGCGAAGCCCAGTCTCGTGGCACTCAACTCGAAAAATAAACGAATTTAATACTAGCGAAGGGCTAATTGACGGCTCCGCGTGGCCAATAGTCTCTGTAGCACCTTGGCCTATTTTATCGGTGATCACGAAACGTAAAAACATGCAGTCGCTATTGTAGTATTCGGGACGAAAGCGCCCCTCTCCCCCCCTGCCGCAATCCAGGTCGAGGTATTCAGAAATGATGAGAAGCTAGGAATGAACAGTGGTAATGGTTTTCTTTTTGAAGCGCGTTTGGAGCGGCGAGGCGCAATTCACCCCAGACGATTACATGCCGTCGTTCCTGCAACATACACACTTTGAGATGGTAACGCAACAGCTGGATCAGTAGCGCGTCCCACTGCCGAGACTGACGCAAGCTTTTCGATTTTGACGATCCGTTAGGAGTAGTGGATAATGGGCCTGTTTCTTGCGCCGGACGGTGTGGGTTCGATCCCACTACTGGTAAAATTGTTCGGGCGCTCGCCTTTAATTCAATATACTCGAGCAGCCTGAGTTCGATCCCCGGTGCCGGCACCAATGGAATTGTTATTTTCAAGTGCTGACTTATCATGTGCTCAGCGGTGAAGGAAACCTGCATTATTCGAAATAAGTGGAGTTAATTCGCAGTGGGGCCGCGTGGTCGACTATGCCCTGATACCCTCTGAGCACAGGAGGCCTTTGCCCAGCATTGGGACATGTATAGGCTGATACTTTACTTTTTTTTACTTTTACGAAAGTGTTCATTGAATCGAATCCAAGATCGAGGTTGAAGCTAATAGCTCAGTGAGTGCGCCACCAATAAACGTTACCAAGTATCGGTTTCGCTAATTCTTAGTTCGTCCGAATTACAGTCTGCAAATGTACCAAAGGCGGGGGCCAAATAGGAGGCAAGCGCCAGTACCGACCTGGGCATTGCGCACATCTCGCAGGCGCGCAGGTTGGCCGCGTTGTGGTAAGTGCACACCGCGCAAGTCCACACGCCCCCCGCCGCCCTGCAACGGCCACGCACAGCGTTCGAAAGGACTCATAAAAATATGATGGTTAGCCAACGTGTTGACTCGTGCACGGATAAGCAATAGTATTTCAGTATGGATAGAACAGTCAAATGGCTGGCTAGCCCACCGGTTCTGCGTTCGATGAAGCTTTAATAGTCTAAGGACTGAAAGCGTAATATCAGTTATACAAATAGAATAGCAAAAGAAGATCAATAGAAATCTTGGGGGATAAAACGATGGAGGTAATTGAGTAATTGGCGTACAAAGCGATAATTGAGTGATTGGAGGTTAAAGCAATGGGGGTAATTGAGTAATTGCGGGTAATAGAGTGATTGGGGGTAATTGAGTGATTGGAGGCAAAAGCAATGGGGGTAATTGAGTAATTGCGGGTAATAGAGTGATTGGGGGTAATTGAGTGATTGGAGGTTAAAGCAATGGAGGTAATTGGGTGATTGGGGGCAATCGAGTAATTGGAGGTAGTCGAGTGATTGGGTGGTAGGCACCCACCCGTGCGGCGCGTCCGCGTCGGCGGCGGCCCTTGCCAGCTGGAAGAGCGTGGCGGGCTGCGGCGCGGCGCGCCACTGCTCGGCCGCCGCCGCGTCGCCAAGGCGCACCGCCTCCAGCAGCGGCTGCACGCACTCCAGCGGCAGCGGCAGCGCCTCGTTGCTGCACAGGTACAGCAGCACGGGCAGCTCCGACATCGCCTGCGACAACGCACCGCAACCAAATTACTTGCCAAAAGCTGTTCATACTTTTGGCCGTTTTGGGTTGACTCTCACCCCACCTCCCGATGGCAGTCCACGTAGTGAAGCGAAACCGAGAGATGTACGCGGAGTCCGATTTCAATGTTAAATAATGTGCTTCGAGCTGTCATGGATTTAAGCACACAGTTGTGTCAGAACAAACGTGTCCAGAACGTGTTCTCTAATAGTACATACACGTCCACGAATGGACCACATGACCACCACGTAAGCCACGGCTCTTTTGTCACCTGTTGTACAAGGTGCATACAAGAAAAAGACTGGAGGAAGTCTAGGCACATTTCCCGCGATTTTGCTCACTTACGCAATGCGGATATAACAGTGTGTCATTGTCGGCCTATATTTGCTAGTTGCACTGGCACAGCATCATTAATCTGGACTGGCGTAGCCCGAGAAGAGGGGCCCTAAAACGGCCATAGTCGTGCAAAGGTCGCGGAAGATAGCGGCCTCGTGCTCCCGTGTCCACTGCCGGTGCGACAAACATATATGACAAGTGGGTTTCTTAGTGAGTACCCATTTCTGACCGGGACTCCCACATAACCCCGCCCCTTTTCCGGCAGGAGACAAGACGGTACGATCGGTATAAATTTTCTGGCGGTTCAACTGATCTTAAGTGATAACCGCCGCCCATTGACATTAGCAACGCCCGTAGAATTTAAGTCACCACTTTTAATAATGCGGGGCCCGGCTACCTTACCCACCAGACGAAGGACGGGGAAGTATAATAAACTTCCACTTCACGTCGGTCTCCTGCGAGGTGGCGGTGTTTACCCGGACGGACTACAGAGAAGACTGCTGCGTGGGCATAAATGCATATTGTAAAATAGGGAAGAGCGTGTTGGGCGCACCTCCAGGAAGGAGGGCGAGGCCTGCACGTGGTGGTGCAGGGCGCGCAGCGAGTGGGGCGGCGGCGCGGCCGCGGCGGGGGGCGCGGGCGGGGCGCCGCTGTGGCGCGCCACGCCCACCGGCACGTCCACCAGCAGGTAGGCCACGGGCACGCGGCGGGCCGACACCCCCACCTCGTTGCCGTACGCGTCCCGCTCCTGAACCGCGCCGCGACCGCCGCACGCGCAGTCGAAACGAAGAAAGAAAGGAAGGAAGAAAATTACATTTATTTGCCAAAAAAAGGGACGCACACAACAAAAGAGAAAAAAAAATAATTAAATTAAAAAAAAGTAAAAGATATTTAAAAAAAATACTCATAAATAATACAGTAAAGCAGAAGAACATAAATGCATAATTAAAATACAAAACAAATGAAAAATGACTTTAACAAACAAAAAATATTGTACGCCCTATTCCGATAAATTAGGTCGGCAGCCCAGCATTGTGCTGTGCCGGAAGTCAAGGCCCAAACAGAGCGCTGATTTGGCGACAAATGGCGAAGGGAGCCCGTATAATCATTGGAAAATAGGGATTCCGTATCATCGACTATAAAAACGACAAGAAAATCATGGCAGCCCCACTTAAACATCTTTTATTCTGTTTTTTAGTATTTGTTGTTATAGCGGCAACTGAAATACATCGTCTGTGAAAATTTCAACTGTCTAACTATGACGGTTCATGAGATACAGCCTACCGACAGACGGTCGGACGGAAAGAAAGAAGAGTCCTAGTTTACTTTTTGGGTACGGAACCTTAAAAACGAAAAAAAAAAAGAGATACTAAGACCGCAGAGTTTCTTGCCGATTCTTCTCTGGTCAGATCTAGGCAAGTGAACCGGTGGGAGTTTTTTTTTTGACGTTTAATATGAGTTTAAATTAAGCGTTTTTTAAATAAAGAAATTTTGACGTCTGCCCTCTCATTCGGTATGGAGAAATGAATTTTCAAAATATATCGTGCCCGTAGAAGGTGTAATTGTGATATAGGATATGTTTCCATTGGAAATCGGTGGCTACTCTCAATGCATTGGAAATGACTGATATTTTATACGCACTAGCAGTTTGGTACAATTAGGAATTTTCCCTTTTATTTCAAAAAATTACATTATTAAATACTGTTTATAAGATTTATTCATACTGTTTTATGTCTTATGTTATCGCATAAAAGATAAAAACATCACAAACAATAACTTATAGTATAGCAAAGTTATGGAGTCAGTTTTTTTGGGATTATAAGACTGTCATAAATAGGAAAAGAATTTTTGTTTCATCAGGGTTACGCTTGCGTTCAGTCATTATGGTTTCAGATTACTGTGCTATCCTCGTGCGCGAGTCCAACTCGCACTTGGCCGGTTTGTGACGTTTAATAAGAGTTTAAAACAAGCCTGTATTGAATAAAGAAATTTTTACCTGACTTCGAGAGCCGTGCCCTAGTGCTAGGTGTTGCGTATACCCTTTTCTGTCGTTTGTCTTATTCCCGACTGACATCTAGTCACCATATGCGATCAATACAAGTATTTTTTTGGTATGATGCACAGTTTCTTGAGATAGAAGGAAGCTGTTCAAACCCAAGAGATCATTATATGACCATCGGAAGCGAAACTTGGACCGTGGCCCAAAACAATGTACACCACGCTAGTTGCCCAAATAAAGATCAAAGATCGATACGCAGGGTAACCGGGCTCGATAAGATTCACATCGAGAATTTGGGACATAGCTTTGGACGAAGGAAGAGTAAGAAGCAGGAGAGCGGGCTGCTATGTTCTTAAAAAGTAGGCCGCCTGTCTACATCTGTAATTTCGCATATCTTTCTTCAAGCCGGAAGACCCAGTGGCAGACGCCATACATAGGTGTAGTGCTAAAAGACAAGCGTGAGTGCCAAGGCACCGATGACTTTATAGGTGGTAAAACAAAGTGGATGAGAAAAGTAAGGAAACTAGACCCTACCAGTTTGGATACGTGGCTAAGAAGATAAAGTGAGATTAAAAGGTTTTTAGCCAAGCAGGGTAGAAATATGGGCGGACAGTAGAACTAAGGACAATGATTTAATCACGAAACAAATCTAAAATACAGAAAAGTACGTCCTACAAACGTTCGACTTTCTACTTCAAGTCGACTCATCTGCCAGGCCACCACTACGATTACCCTACAATTTAATTAAACTTATTATCATTACTAATTTTTTAAAATTATAAGTACGTAATGACAAAAATAACCTAAAGTAATAAAACAAAATCTATGATCGAATCTCATCTTTTCAAACAATATTTTCAAATTAAATCGAGACCGAAGATACTCGAATTCCAATCGAAATCAATAAGTATGATATAGATAAAGCTGAATAATACGCTGAAATTGTGTTTTTTCCTAGTTTCGTATTTTCTTATCCGAAGGAAAACTGAAATAAAGGGTTACGTTAGCTGAAGATAACACAAAGTCCACAGAGAGAGGAGTATTTCAAATGTCTAGAGTATTGCAGATTAGAAAAAAAATTATGTCTGTTGTATGGGAGCCCCACTTAAATATTTTGTGTTCTGTTTTTTATTATTTGTAGTTATAGCGGCAACAGAAAAAAATCATCTGTGAAAAATTCAACTGTCTAACTGATGATTGGTGGTTCATTATATACAGCTTGGTGACAGACAGAGAGCGGAGTCTTAGTAATAGGGTCTCGTTATACCCTTTGGGTACGGAACCCTAAAAAGAAGCAATAAACTGTCAGTCACATTTTTTCCATATTTCTTTTAAAATTATTTAGTGTTATTTTAAAGTTTAAGTTATGAAACGAATATTGCGAATATTATATAAATAATTATTTTAATATATTTAGTCACTAGAAAATAAAGTAGCTCATGCAACAAAGCGACAAACAAAGTCCCATATTAAGGACCACGCATTATGAAACTCGCCGGGGTTTCCGGGAAATCGAGTGGGCGGGCGGTCTACGCAAGCGCTACGACGGAACTACGGCGGGGCTACGGCGCAGATCGATACAGCTCGCAACGGGCAAGCGACGCGATCCGCTACGGCGCACAGAGCGACAAAGGGACCCACACAGAGGCAACGCGGTAACGCACACAGACCCAGCCGGCCCTCATCAAATCAAACTCGCACTTATGCACTGAAGTACGCGCGGACGGATGCAACGGTCGACGTAACTTTGACGCGTCGTATCTAGTGTTTTCACTTTTGATGGACTTAAACTAGAAACTTCGACTGTTTTTGTCGTTATTGTATTTGTTATGAGTTTTCGATTATTCAATGAAATAAAATTGAATATTTAGAGTTTAAAATAAGCCTATCTAAACTATATTATTCTTATATATAAAATTCTCGTGTCACAATGTTAGTTACTTTACTCCCCCGAAACGGCTTTACTGATTTTTACCAAATTAGATATGCATATTCAGTAGGTCTGAGAATCGGCTACTATCTATTTTTCATACCCCTAAGTGATAAGGATTGTTCACCCTTAACATTTTTTTTTTAATTTTTGGACAAATTTTTTTGTTTTTATTTTTTTATGATACAGCATATAAAAATACATACAACCCTAAATTTTCACCCCTCTATGAAGTCGTGGGCAGCAGCTAGTAATGTTATAAAGAGGAAAGATTTGATTTTTTTGTTTGTTTTTTTTAGATTTAACTCAAAACTACTTGACAGATTTTAAAAATTTCTTACACCATTAGAAATCTACATATTTACCGAGTAACATAGCCTATACTATATTTTAAAAAATTAGAAATTACATAAAATGGAACAATGCCACCCTAGGTATAAAAATGTTGCCTATAAAGGATATTTAGTGTTCTAAATATGTTTAGTAGTTAGTTTGTTTATAAATCAGCTATATTTTAAATCCGTATTCTCATGGGAACGAGAAATACGCGGGTGAAATAATCTATATCTTGCTAGTTAGTCGAGCTATCCGAAATTTTCGCGGACGAAGTCACGGGCGAAGTGTTAGTATTGAAAAACAAAAAATAAAACGTCTATTTGCTTTTAATATTTATTTGATATATTATTAGCGATATCATAACAAAGTTTTCAGAATTTTTATGTTAAAATTAGTGTACTGTGTGAAAATACAATATTTAATCTTTCATGACTATATATATATATATATATGTTTTATGACTATATATATATGTTCAGAAAGCTATCGAAAATCAATATATTTAAAATATATCAAAATATGAGAACGCTTCGACAATGTTGCGTCGTCGTGTAATCTGTTGATCGAGTTTCCGGACGCGTAGCGCAGAAGCGGAAAGCGACATTGCGGGCGCACACGAGATGTGAAGTGACGTTGCATTTCACATCGGCTCATTCGTTATAGTTGGCTGGTCAGTTCGTTTGGCCGAATCGGAAGTCGGTGGCGCAGGCGACGCGGGCCTGCGATGTGAGGCGCGACCGAGGCACAGACGAGGCAAAATGGAGGGCGTCGGGGAGGAGCGGGGCGCGGCGGGCCCCCTGGCCGACATCGAGGAGCTGGTGCTGTGCTCCAGCTGCCGGCGCAGCTACGACGAGGCGGAGAGGGCGCCCAAGCTGCTCGCGTGCAAGCACGCGTTCTGCCTCGCGTGCGTGGGCACCGTGCTCAGCGAGGGCCGCGAGGTCGTCTGCCCCCACTGCTCGAAGCGCACCGAGCCGCCGTCGGGCGTCGCCGCCTCGCTGCCCACGCACGGCGCGCTGCTGGCGTTGGCGCGGCGCGTGGCCAACGCCGAGCCGCCGCCGCCCGCCGCGGCCGCGCTCTGGTGCGGCGCGTGCGGCGGCCCGCCCACGCCGGCGTGCGCGGCCCACGCGGCCCTCGTGGCCGTGCTGCGCTCGCACGCGGCCGTGGCACGTGACACGCTGCTGTTGCGCGAGGAGCTGCGCCGCCTCGCCGGCCGCCGGCGCGACGCCCAGCTGCGCGCCCTCGACGCCGCCACGGCGCTCAAGATGCGCCTCGAGGGCGAGCTCTCCGTGCCGGCGCCCATCTCGCCTCCCGCGCCCGACGCCCCCCCGCCGCCCGACCCGTCGGCCGTCACGGCTCTTCCCGCCGCCGTCGCCGAGGTGGAGCGCCTCCGCGCCCGCCACCTCTCCGCGCTGATGCGGTGCCGCCTCGACGAGCTCATCCGCGCCGCCTCCTCCCCGCTCGACTTCGAGCGGATGCGGCGGGCGCTCGTGGGGCTGGACGTACCGACCCCGCCCCCGTCCGCCCCGCAGCACGCCCCCACCGACCCCGTGCTCTTTCTGGCCAACTACTGCATGGTGCAGCTCTACATACGCGACTTCTTGCAGCAGCACGACGAGGGCGAAGGCGGCGAGCCGCTGTTGCGCATGCCGCCCACCTACCCGCTGTTCTATTTCGAGCTCGACGTGGACGGCGTGCCGTGCGGGCGCTTCGTGGTCGAGGTCCGCAACGACCTGGCGCCGCGCATGGCGCGCAATTTCTCCATGCTGACCGTCGGCGAACGGGGTATCGGCTACCGCGGCTGCACCGTATTCCAGTGTTTCGAGAACGAGAGCGTAATCACGGGCGACTTCGAGATGAACAACGGGCGCGGCGGCTGCTCCGTTTACAAGGAGGGCTTCTTCATGCCGGACGACACCAAGATGGCGGCTGTGCGCGGCGCGGTGGGTATGCGCCGCTCGCAGAAGCACCAAGATCACCTGGGTCTCGTGGGCTCTCAGTTCCGCATCATACTGCGCGAGAAGCGCAACTTCACTGCCATCTTCGCGTTCGTGGTGGAGGGTCTAGAGCTGGTGGACAGGCTGAGCTGCATGGGCGACAGCAACGGGAAGCCGCACAGCACTATCCTCATAGCCAAATGCGGCAAGCTGTACTGAAGCGCCATCGGCCGACATCTCGCCCCTCTTCAACCTTCCTTCGCAATCCCTGGTACCTTTTCGTACTTAACCTTCGGACCAACTCTATCAATTAATCTTTCTACAATTTTTTTAAATGTATAGAGAAATTTTGAAGGTTTTATGCGTAGTTATGTCGAAATTCGCCGTTTAGAGTTTTCTTATATCGTTTCGTTCGTATAGTTAGCGATTTAGCATCATCGTGAGATGGTATATACACTCGGTAACAGGGTGTTCGAGGGGCGGTCGGCGAGCCAAGTCGTCCGCCCCATCTCCATCCAGCGCGTCCGCGAAGGCGCACTCGCTTCTTTTTCGTATCCGAGCCGCTTCAGAGATATATTTTTTTTACAATCGCATTAGGGGGCACTGCGCGCCGCTGCCGCAATCGTTCTATTTAACACCGTCGTATCGCGCGACGTCATAGTGTTTAAGCAAAAAAATCATAACGTTTCGATCGCATGTTATAGATGTTTAAGTCTAAGGCCAACACGACCGCCGCCCTATCTTCGGCGTCGTATACTACTTAGTATGAATGTATGTTATAGTATATATTCTAGTTAAGACAAAGAAAATTATATTTACAGGCGAAATTCGCCGTTTTTGGTGCAATATAGAAGAGGAGCTTAAGATGCGAATGTTTGTCATCGGTAGATAAGGGATGGGGAATCGACGGGAGTGCTCAAGTTTCGGTTGTATTACAAGGCTGTGATGGTGTGTAGTGATGGGTGGGAGCGAGATAGTGCCTGGCGGTGCAACCGGCTGCCACTCGGGGGTGAGCAGGGGTCGGTGCACGGGGGTTGTTAAGCCTATCCGATTTAAATGTTGAGTTTATTAGCAGAGTTTATGTCGCGACCAACTCGGGAGCTGTTGTAACTATTCCTGTTGACTGATCCTATGATCTGTTGTAACTATTTCTGATATTACCTAGCGATGTGTAGTTTGTAGGTTGTAGTGGAGATTATTGTGTCTCGATTTATAGTCATAAGACGCGATTGACATATAATGTGTACTCTTGGTTATGTAAATGTACTAGCATACTAATATGTCCTGAGCGAATTATGATAAATAAATTAATATAGTATACATATAAATATGTTAAATTATCCTTGTTTTATTTCATAAATCCCGTAGCCAGCTGAATGAACTCGCAAAGCTATTTTTTAAACATGCCTTTTTAGATTTTAAGTACATTATTCATTTTAGTATTCATATTAATAGAAAATAATAACATTATTATTGAACACTATCACCAGAGCTGAAGGCAATTTACGTTACTTAGACAAATCGTTTGTATATAAAAGTCTTGGCGTTACCGAGTGTTGTAAATGTCTGTAACTGTACCTGGCTATTTCATTTTATCATCAGGTACTATAAAATTACTCAATAAATAAATAAATGGGCACTGCTGGCTGAGTGGTCGGTGCAAACTCTGAATAGAGACGCGGGTTCGATTTTGTCGATGTATTTCGATATTAGTGAATCTTATCTAGAGATGAAAATTACTTTTTAAATCGTACTTCATTTTTATGTTAGTATTATTTTTACTTATCTAATAACTATTATGTACATGATGATCTTTTAATTTTGTGGGGTAATGTATGCTATAAGATTTAATCAAACGTCATATTTTCACTTGTGATTGTTGAATAGAAATATAATAACTATTGTATAGATAACATTTAAAACAACGTTTCATTACCTAAAAAAATTGCCCTTTATATATATTTATTCTATAGACCCTAGTATTTCTGCGTTTTTGTTCACCGTCATTTTAATATGCGAATGTAAATGGCCTAATAAATTTATTAAACTGTTCAAATAATGGTTGCCAGCGCACGTCGTCCATATTTTTTTACTACTCGGCTCCTGCGGTTACAAATACTTATGTCATGACTCGGCAATATTGACGCCCGGTTTCTGAAACACTGATCATCGTACGAATTAACTAATCAGTTGTCAAATGCCATTTGAGTTGCCAAAAGGTGGTTAAACTGTCTGAATTGATCATTCTGATCATTAAGAAGATAGTTCTGATCAATTCAGAGATTTTATCAATCCTTTTGGCAACTGAAATGGCTTCAAATGCTAAGAAATAATGTAGAAAAGGACGTTAAGATTTGCGTCGCTGTGGCAATCAGCCGTTTAGCTCAGTGGCTAGAGCGTCAGACCGCGAATGCCGAAGACGTGGGTTCGATTCCCACAGCGGCGACAATCTTTTCGTACTTTTTCTACATATTTTAATGTTCAATCTTAAGTGCAAAGATTAACACTATAAACAATTTAAATAACTGAAATGGCATTTGATTTGACAACTGATTAGTTAATATCTAGGACGATCAGTATTTCAGAAACCGGGCGTTAGCCTCGCCGTTTTACATATTCTGAATTGTTAAGTTCAAATATGCAAAGACAACAGTATGTCTAGACATCTATATTTGTTGTTTATGGATAAATGATAAAAAATGAGCGAAATTATTAAGATTGAACATTAAAATATGTTGAAAAATAATGTTCAATCTTAGTGGAAAGATTAGCACTATAAAAAATTTAAATTTCTAAATTATTAAACTTAAACTATAGTATTTTTGCCACACACAAGATCAGGCATTCGACATTCACCAGTTAAATGCGTAATGGCTTGAACCTGAAAATCATTCCATTATAAATGTACGAATACGGGATAAAATTGGTGATAGACAAATTTATTGGCAAATACAATCCTAGACCAATCTTAGACATACAAATTGATCATTGACAAAGATAATCTTGACGGCAGACAGAGAATGAAAATTTGTGTAAATGCTTGGTTTTTGAAAGAATAAGCATTAGAAAATGATAAAACTGTTACCTCATGTCTACCAGCAGTTACTTTTCAAAAACATTTTTATTAAAAAAAAACAACCGACTCCAATTAATGTGTCATTCGGTTTATAAAATATTTAAAAATTCGTCGATAGATTAAAAATCCAAAATTTGGATCGAGATGAAAGCTTAAAATGCATAGGTAATTTGTCGAAATTTTTTCGACAATTTATCTATTTCCAAAAAACCTGAGAGTTTCTGGAAGGACGGACAAGTTTCACGATAGATGCGAGAAAGGTTGGGGAAGAGAATGGCACATTTATAATTTAACAAATCATCATCATCATTATTTCAGCCTGTTTGAGTCCACTGCTGAAACTAGGCCTCCCCCAGAGAAGAAGAAGAAGAAGAAACGTTTATTCACGATCTAACTTAGAAAGCTTAGAAAATAATGTAACTACGCAGTTAGTATATAAAAAGATATTGGAAAAATTTAAAATAAATATAAATATAACAACAAAAACGAAAAAAAAAAAAAATAAGTGAAGGTCTCTGTAGCAGCATAAGACCGTGAAACGGACGGGACTCAGTGAAAGTCGAGATACAGAAACTAAAACTCGTTCCGATCCCGACACTGGTACCTACCGAAAAACCTTTGAACATTCCGAAGCAATGAATAGTGGAAATCTGAGTGTTGGCAACATTAAAATTATTTTTATGCATGGCAATTATATTCGCTGTATTAAACTCTCTCGCATAGACGTGTCATTAAAGGCTGTACACAAGAAAATAAATTTAAGTGTCTAAAAGTGGTTTAATTACTCCACCAGCTTTACCGACAGGCAGGATTACTTCCACTACACTCAGGTAAACCCTGACACTGAGAGCGTATGGTCAGGACTATATGGTAGATAAAATAACAATAATAAATCATTTATTTAACAAGCAAAAACATAGGATATACAAAATACTTAGATTGCTGTTGAGACATTTCGAATACCGTACATTATCTGCGGTGCGCACACAAGATGCATTAACACTTCCCAACCTCTTTTAATTTTCGTTGAGTGGCCAAATATCTGGCGTTAACATGATGATAGTCCACTACCTTTCTGTTGAACAATTTCTTGCAATAGTCTCATCAGCTGTAGGCAGTAGAGACCAAGATCAAAGCTCATAATGAATGTGACGTCATTCCAATCCCACCACAAACACAGCAACACCTTATTACGTGTTAATCCGGTCTTAATAGTGTGTGGAGCGTGAGTGCCCTTTGAGCACCCTTTGGTTATCTATTTTTCATCACCAGTGATCCATTTCTTTCAAAATGGATTGGATTAGATAGTTCATAAGGTTTCTTTGAGCTTGAGTTTAGGTTTTGAGCTCGTGTGGCACCCTAATGTCGATTTTTTTTCAAATGGGTCTAAATTGTTCTGTGGTCAGCCCCTCTTCTGCTGCATCACTTTATTTTTTTTTTCTCTTGATCCTGCTCCATTTTTTCGGAAATGGCATCGAATTTACACGTAACGGCGCGAACAGGGCGAAATGCATCATTAACATCAAAATACCCACACTAAAAAAAAACCTTATGTAGCTGGAATGTAATGTATATCACCTTCGTACCACGCAACTATGCAAAAAGGAATCGACAAAATTCATTTTTGTAAAGACCGAGATCTAAAATCACGTGACAAAGTCGTGGGGACATTTAGTGCTGGAAGAATAAATAGGAACATCAACTCGATTCCCGTCAAACTTGAACTCTATGATTTTACTAACATAGTAGTTCTTTTCTTATATGTTCATCGTAAAATCTACATAAAATAAAATTTTCTCTTGATTCCGTTCAACACCAAAGGCGATAATAACTATGGAACTAGTGCGTACCTTGTAGTACACGTCCGGCACGTAGTGTTGCGGGCTGCAGTCCCGGATGTAGCCGAGCTCCGGCGCGTCCTTGGTCGGCAGCAGGATGCCGTCCCTCACCAGGGCCTGGCACTGCCCTGACACCTGGTAGCCCTCCAGGTGCACCTGCTTCTGGCTGTCGCCTAGCAAATCAAACCAAATCATTTATTCACTGAAGTGAGTTACATACGTTTCATCTATCGACAGTCATTTTTTAGGGTTTCATACCCAAAGGGAAAAGCCTATTACTAAGACTACGCTGTCTGTCTGTCCGTTTGTCACCAGGATGTATCTCAGGAACCGTGATATTTATAGACAGTTGAGAATTTCACAGATGACGTTGGTGGCAATTTTTTTTGCCGTCTTTACAGTTAATGCTATGGAACGCTTCGTGCGCAGGTCCGACTCGCACTTAGCTGGTTTTCAAATCTACTACCGTTTCGTGATAAGTTTCCTCTAACGAAGAAGAAACAGGCGAAAGTAACTCTGTAGGTATCCTATTTGTTATTTTTTTCCATACCCTCTCTATAGAGGAGGCCAGCAGTGGGACATGTATAGGCTGTAAATTTTTTAACTTTTAACTGTACATAATTTTTACTACAGCGGTTTTTACTTCACTTTCTGTATACGAATTCTCCTATGCCCTCTGATATGAGTAATTCGAGGGCGCGGATAATTGGTAGAAAATGATAACCCCTAGGTATTCGTAGCCAATATCAATGTTTCGCTAACATCGACAAGTCATCTTCTTCATTGTGTGTTAATAGAAATGGAATTCTAGCGGAAATCGCTTTAAGATGTTTCTCAAGTAAGCTTTTTATTTAATTATGTACACAAGTACACAAGATTTTGTATGTTGTCCGTTTGTTCAAACGTTGAGATCTATTATATTAAGTTTTTTTTTTTAATATTTTAAAAACACTTGACAATTATTGCTCCGGATATAGATTGGCATCCATATACAAATTGTGTTACACTTCGTACTGTCAAACAAAGTCCCCTCTAAACTGCAGCCAGTATGCAATGCTACATCGGAAATTGTAATCTGAAATAGTGAAATGCAGAGAAACAGAACGTTGAGTGAAAAAGCGAGATGGATAGAGCGAGTGAGCGAGATTGAAGACGTATTGCGAGTGCGAGCTAAGTGTAAAGAAGGAAGACGTGTGTTAAGATTTTTTAAAACGATTTACTAGCTGTGCCCGCGACTTCGTCCGCGTGGAATTTAAAAAAAAATCTAAAATCAAAATAGCCTAAGTTACTCCTTATTACATCAGCTATCAGCCAGGGAAAGTCCCGTCCAAATCGGTCCAGCCGTTTCAGAGATTAGCCGGAACAAATAGACAGACAGACAGACAAAAATTGTATAAACGTTATTTTGGTATATGCACCGTGTATACATCCATATGCATTTAGTAAAAAGCGGTTATTTTAATATTACAAACAGACGCTCCAATTTTATTTATCTGTATAGATTAAGAAGAAAACAAATCATTATTATAGCCAACAACGCGTCCGCTAATTTTGCCGCTCCACATCATATGTTAAGCTCCGTTACAATACAGGGTAAAAATACAAAATAGTTAACCACATCAGATAACCTATAAGTAGATGTAGTAATAACGTTGATGAAGCAAATCAGGAGCGAAAGTTTTCCACGATGTGGATATCCGTAATCCGCAATATATGTTTCCAACTTAAGATGACAGGCGTATGTGTCGACATTACTTGAAAAGAATTTCATCTCGTACGAAGTCAAAATGGGCTTAACCGAACATCTTTTTATAAAAGCGCATACATTTTAACGTTACATTACGTACAAAAATTCTGTAATAATCTTGATCATATTTCTCAGTAGAACCTTCAAAACATGTTCTCGACAGAGAAAAAAATCATGGAATAACCAATTCTAACAAAAATTATGCGTAACATACATAAAAATCTTGGCAAAGATAACATCAGTAATGTAAAATATCGAAATAAAGGGGACAATTGCGAATACAATGTATACGAAAATGTAATAAGGCGCAATTCCTTTTTTACCTAAGTTCGAGTGGCCTGGAGGTTTTTTACATTTGACTTCGTACTAGATAATAGATTCGTATAGTTTTCAAATCTCCAAAATGTGGAGAAATGTACCCAAGGCGTAATGACGATGTTTAGTGATATATAACATTGATTTTGATTTACTTTTTGTTATAAATAATTGATAATATAAATACCTAATACACATTTCATTATACATATTTTTACAAGTTTTATTTGATAATATTGTTCTTTTTTTTAATTTCATTTAAATGTTTCTCTTTTTCAATAAAATCAATTGTTTTCTTTATTTCTCATCATTTTGTGAATTTGGCATACATTTAGCCACCGTGACGAGGATGACTTTTTTTAAGTATAAAAGAAATCAAAATCATATTAATTCTCAAAAATATATTAAAAAAGTAACAGCATATAAATGTTCCACTGCTGGGCAAAGGCCGGCTGTGTAAAGAGGGTATAGAGGGTCGCGTGGCCGACTATGTTTATACTATAGACATAGTCCACCACGCGACCCCACTGCGGATTGGCGGACTTCACATATTTTTCGAAATATTTTTTGTTACTATTTCGAAAATATGCAGGTCTCCTTCAACGCCGAGCACGTGATAATTCGGCAAGGTTAAAATTAACTTCATTAGTGCCGACATCGGGGATCGAACTCAGGTTGCTCGAGTATAAAGGCGAGCACCCGAACACAGTTATTACGGCTAAGAACATATTAAGTAAACAATATTCCCATAAAAGAAGTCTCTCGGTACAGAGCACACTGTGCCAAACCAGTTAGGCTTCTTGAAAATTTACCATCAGCAATGAAATTACCGTCACAAATTATAGATAGATAAATGATAAAATAAAAACAAATGTCGGTGTCTCCGAAAGGGGGTAAGATCGAGTGCATAAATATAAAAGAGGAAATAACTACTGCCAAGTCGAGTGGCGTGCACAGCGATTGAAGACAGGGTATGCATTAAAAAAAACCGCCAAATGCGGACTCGCACATATATTTTTTTTATGTGAAAAGTTGCCAAACGAGCAGACGGTTCACCAGATGGTAAGTGAATACCGCCGCCCATGGACATCTGCTACACCCGAGGGTTGCAAATGCGTTGACAAGCTTTTGAAAATTGGGCTCTGGCCACCTCACTCACTAGACGAAACGCGAAAGTATTTATTATACTTCCACTTTAGGCCGGTCTTCTGTGAGGTCGTGGTACTCACCCGGACGAGCCCGCCCATTCGTGCAACAGCCGAGGCTGCTGCGTGGCCCTACCACCGTATGAACTTATAATATTATCCTTATATCATAATAAAGGCGAAAGTTTGTATGTATGGATGAATATTTTTTACTCTTTCACGCAAATAGTGCTGAATGAATTTTAATGAAAATTTACAATAATATAGCTTATATACTAGAATAGAATAGGCTATAATTTTTATACATATTATTATGTATCTGTCTTTCGGACTGAATGTTAAAAAAATTATGGCTGTTGTATGGGAATCCCACTTAAATATATATATATATATTTTTTATTAGTTGTTGTTATAGCGGCAACATAAATTTCAACTGTCTCACTATAACGGTACGATACAGCCTGGTGACAGACGGACAGATAGCGCCAAGAAAGCAACAAAAACGAAATAGCGATACAAAAAAAAAAGAATGAATGACATTGCATTCAGTCCACAACTAAGCGATATTTTGACGACTTCTCAAACTAAAAGCATGCATTAAAACGAGCAAATATTTGCATAAGATACTATTTCCGAATGATTACTACATGTTTCTTTGTAAAAGAAACAAGGCTCGGATAATACCTGCTTAAATGCTAACCGAAAACACTAACAGATGGCGCTGAAATTAATAGGTACGAAAACGCAAGGGTTAAAGTAAATATATCATTAACAATTAATGTGTTTTAGGGAGTGTTTGTATGGTATGACACCCTGTCGTGCAAAGCTTTTTTGCTTGTATGGAGTGCACGCGCTTAGTTAAAAATGTTAAAACTGTCCAATATTTTTTTCTGATCGCTGCTAGGATTCAAACCAGCGCCTTCCGGATTACGCGTCCAGACGCTCTAGCCACTAAACAAAGCGGTCGACATCCGCAATGCGCGAAAACCTCGCGATGAATAGAGATTTTATAAAGAACTAGCGATCCGACACGGTTTCTAACGGGTACAATGTATTATACATTTATAAACTTTCCTCTTGAATCTCTATCTAGTAAAAAAACAGCATCAAGATCCGTTGCGTTGTTTTAAAGATCTAAACATAGATCAGCGGGGACTTTGTGTTATACTATGTTGTGACAAGTTCCACAAGAATATACATATTTGGGTTGTGGTCAAATCACTCACATCGCAAGACAATAAAGATTTCGATGTGTGGTTTTTTCGTGTGTGCCACAAGCCTACATGGGCGTTTTATCCCGACTGCATTGAACGCAAAAAAAGGAGATTATGTGTTTGTGCTGTGTGCAAGTATGTATGTCCATTCCTCTGTTCCATCGTACCTAGCTATAACCCATTTTTATGAATTTTGATAAATTATATCTTATCCTTTAAACGAGCAATTTTTGTGTGTGTATATATATATATATATATATATATATAGTTTTTTTCCGCTTAAATTTGTTGATTCAATACCATATGTATGTGATTTAGTGGCTCCATTCGGATCAACAGCTGTTCGTCAATATCTTTTTGAAAGTAGCTACAATTTATACAAATCCACTACATACTTATTTGATACTTTCTAAACTTAACAGCTGTTTACCATGAGCCGAGACGGTAGGAATAAAGAAAAAAAGTTAATGTTTCCATAAAAAGCTTTCATTTTAAAACTTCTCATTAAGAATGGATAATAACGCCATCTATGGAGTATTTGTTTAAATTACAGAAAGCGAAGAAGACTGAACGTTATTTTTTCAAAAAAAAAAAGATGTCTATCATTGATAAATACTTAAAGTGAAGTAAAAAACATTATTAAAGTACCATTCATCCATCAAAGTACATTATAACAACTTCGATTAGTCTCTATTATTTATAAAAGGTGTTTTTGTCATAATATCCATAATTCATCAAATTTAATGATTAAAACACTATTATTTTTTGATAGCAAAGCTTTTGTTTAAAAAGATCTTATAAATAATGTGTGATAGTGCCATCTATTGACAATTTATTTGAATAAAAGGTACTCAAGACGAAGTATACTGATATCTACGTATAAAGCAGGAACAGTGAATACATGTCCCATTGCTAGGCAAGGGCCTCCTCTGTACATAGGCTATTCGGGTATAGTCCACTACTCAACCCCACTGCAGATTGGCTGACCTAACATAAAAATAGTAATTTTACCTTGACCGCGGAGCATGATAGGTCAGCAATTAATGTTGCAATTAACAATTTCATTGATACTTGCACTTTGTGGAAATTTCGCACAGGTTCGTCTAGTTATCATAAGAATATTGTTAAAGAATATTATCTTTGTTTATTAATTTATCGCATTTGTCGTCGATTGAAAATATAACTAACAAATGTTTCTTTTTCTTCTACGAGCCTACAATATTTATAATAATGAAGATGTGTAGATGCAGAGAGGGTAGAGGTGGAAAGTGAAGATTCGTAAATTCTGCTGGAGGTGACGACAGACGTGTTATATCTCATGCCGACATCAAATAGTTGACCGCACAAAAATAAAAAAAATACACTTAAGTTATAAATTATGTACCTTTTTATGGATAACTTTTCCATTCACAAAACGATATTAATATCATACCTTAGTGGCAAGAAATAGGTATATAAATACTTTTGGTTTATAGGAAAAAAGAAATTATAGTTTGTATTTATGTCCATGCGCGCTATATTATGGTAGTAGGCAGGAATGAGAGCGTGGTGATGCTAATAATGATTTTGGACAGTAAATTACCTGTGACACAGACGGTGACGAATTTTGAGCCAAAGTGGCCCGAAGATGCGTGCCGGCAGACGTTCGGATGCTGGTTCTGGTAGTGGCCGGCCGTGATGCACTCCTGGGCGGACAGGAAGTGCGTGTCCACGCCCCTGCAGAAGACAACCGTCTCGATGATATGCATTAACAGTAGCGTTCCAAGGAACAATCCTGGGGAACCCCTGAACTTTGTACTAGATCTGGCTATATTGTATTTTGCCAGAGTGGCTGGTAGATGCTAGTTATTCCACTCCGGCAAATATCTTACTGTCTTAACAAAAGAAATAAATAGCACGATTATTCAGATGTTTGAAAAAAAAACTATCAGTTGCTTATTATTTTATCTTGATTAATTGGTTGTCGTCCACTATTGAACATGGTTTTTAAAAAAAATAATAATCCTCCGGTTCATGGTCGCAGCTCTAACTTCTTCCCCTTTGGTTATTAGTTCTTCAAGCAATTTGGCCTGTCCAATGCCTATTCGCTTTACACACACTTACAATTATATAAAACAGATTTTCCGATTCCTATTATCTTTTCCATGTAAATGGTGACCTACGTTCCTTTACGTCTTTGGCTGCCTGGAAAGGATCGCTATGAAGCGATGAGGCCGCGCAATGGTGCATTCCGTAAATCATCTGTTTTAGTGTTGTTATCTAATTTTCTGTATTCTTTTATTAGTGGAATACAATAAAAGTATTGGTCCATTAATTCACCATCATCATTCAATCACGTTCACCGTAAACGGGTTATGTTCACAGTGCGAAAAGGGGAAGTGGTAAAGGAGCCCGACCGACCTGACTTGGCGCACCGTGCCCGCCGCCAGGTCGTCGGGCAGCAGGTCCGTGAAGATCCAGCCCACGCGCCGCAGCCCCAGCCGAAGCGCCAGCTCGTCCAGCAGCTGCGAGTGAGGGTCGGGGCTCAGCGTGATGAAGTCCCGCCCGCTCTCCTGCGGCGGCTCGTAGATGGCGCTCACGCGCGCGCGTATGCCTGTTCGTTGCGGGCGATACGGGTTTTTTTTATGTCAGTTTGTAAGGTGGCAAACGAGTTCAGTGATAAACGCCGCCTCCGTTTACTTTGCCACTTTTAAATAGTGGGCCCCGGCTATCTCACTAGCCAGACGAAACGCACAAGTGTAACACTCATGACCAATGGACCTGCCCATTCATGCAACTGTTGTGTGGTCCCTACCACAGTTGTATGTTATTCTTTTTGTTAAGTGTACAATAACGAACATCTGTCGACGGATAAAAGAATGAGTTCATAAAAGCAAGGTTCACCTGTGGCAGGGCCACGCAGCAGCCTCGGCTGTTGCACGAATGGGCAGCTCCGTCCGGGTGGATTCGATCCCCACGCGAACTCATGGAAGACTAGGGCCACGCAAACAACAGTCTTGGCTGTTGAACGGATGGGCAGGTCCGCACCGGAGAGTACCACGAACTCATGGAAGACTAGCGTGAAGTGGAAGTATAATCTTCGCGTTTCGTCTGGTGAGTGAGGTAGCCAGAGCCCAATTTCCAAAAGGTGTCATCGTATCTGCAACCCTCGGGTGAAGCAGATGTCCATGGGCGGCGTAATTCACTTAACACGAGGTGAACCAGGTGCTAGCTTGGCAACTTTCACATAAAAAAAAAAACAAAGTACCCAAAGGCACGTCGGGGTGCCGCTCGTAGTGGCCGTAGAGGAAGCCGAGCCGCTGGTGGCCGGTGGCGCGCCAGTAGGCCAGCAGCCGCTCCACCAGCGCGGCGCGCTCGAACAGCACGTTGTCCACGTGCCGGTAGGGCTGCCGGTTCAGCGTCACGGCGCCCGGCTGGCACTTGGAGCAGATGCCGCGCGGCCACGGCGGATGCTCCGCGCACCCTGCCACCCACACCAGTTAGGCAACCCTAGCTCTGTGCCTTGTCTCAATCACCTCGCTTCGCCACAGCCCTAGCCTACTGTATGCGAACGAGCCCATATATTTTATTGATTGAACATTTTATTTTAATGACATACTATGCCATCAGCAGGTAATGGTGATGCATCCGTAACTGATAAAAGACATTTTAAACGTTGGAAGATGTTTTATGTTTTTTTTTTACTTTACACAATGAAAATATAGCACATTCCTTTTGGTAGCAAATGGACATTTTAAAGTTTTTAACAAGTATCCTTTAAGACATTACATCTTATTTGGTTACTACAATTTTTTTATGGGTTAAAACAAATAAGTTTTATGTTAATGAATAATAAAGTGATTCATTACCTGGTTTAATTTTACATGAGAGCTCATCTAGGGAAATGAATTTGCCAGATGTAATCTTGCGTAAGTAAGAATGGAATGATAAATGCTTGATGTTGTGCTCCTTCAAGTAACCCTCGTCCCAAGGTTCAAGAGGGGAGCAGTGAACACAGCAACCGTTAGAATTGTGACGGCATCTGTGAAGGAGAAAAATTGTGGATTTAAGATATACACATATATAAATAATACCCGACTCCAGTTTTATTTACTTATAATATATTTGGAATTCCACCTATTAAACATGTGGAAAAAGTATGAAAAGATTGTTGCCGCTGTGGGAATCGAACCCACGTTTTCGCGGCTTTTTCTACATGTTTTAATGTTCAATCTTACGTACAGAGATTAGCACTATAAAAAACTTTAAAAATTAATTACACCTATGTTCAGCAGTGGACTCAAATAGGCTGAAAAGATGATGATGATTTTTCCTTTATTTTTTGCCTTTATCCTATACATATATGGTTTAATTTGCCAAAAGCACATTAACAATAATCACTTAATTTCATGTAGTATTGTAACTGTAAGGTAATAAAGTGACTTACAATTTATCATCTCGTTGTCTCTGGATGGTTCCTGGCAGCTTGTAAAGCTCCAAGTCTACCTCGTCTTCTTCGGGCACACCAGGTTTCAGTGTTGGAGCATTTATCACTGTTGATGTTGACAGGACCGGGCACAGGGTCACCTGACGGTTTACTACTTGACTGTGGAGATCATAACAGTTAAAGTAAAATTATTCTGGATTTGTTTCAATGCATGTTTTTTTGTATGTCCGGTTAATAGTGACCTTTAAATAGCTACAATTGACAAATTCATTTCAATTATGTGTCAAAAAAGCATGGTTATTGAACCAAAAATACACAACTGAATTAACTGGCTGTTAGTGACAGATATGTTAATTAAAATGGGCAACACACACCAGTTTTGAAATCTATTTTGTCAAACCAGTATATAATTTGTACACATTTTTCTTTATTCTTTTCTTATCAAAGACGTTTGGACAAAATAACAGACAAATCTACACAGCAAATAGTAGCAGTCCCATTTTCTTATAATTTTTGCATATTCAATTTTGTCAGAAACATCTAATATGTTTAGGTTTTTGGATAAAAGGTATATTATGAACTTTTAGAAATTTACCTACCTCTGCACTAGTTGAAGGTTGATCAAAGAGGACTGCTCCATTGACTGGACTGAGGTACAGCATGTCACCATGCTGCAACCCGTATTCACGGAGCTGGCGGGATTTACTTGAGACTATCTCTTCCTTGCGTTGGCGGTCACGGTGCAGTGAGAATCCGAATGTGCTGAGGTGCAAATCATCGTACACGCACTCATACAGTCGTGACGTTACATCTGTATCAAAAACTTCTATGCGCGATGTGCCTTCAGGTGACTGCACTCGCAGCATCTGTAAACGTATGCAGCGTCCTATGTACATTGAAGTTAACTGTTGCCTCAGTCATTGTCAAAACAAATGCAAAGTTCGAAGATGCTGAGTCATTATTTTTCGGCGAACGTTTCTTCGTTGCAATAAACTTAAAGATTCACGTCTTAAAAGTAAAATAACACAGTATCAGTATCAATATCTACTAAAAGCAACTTTGAAAATTCAAAAAGTTGGCACGGAGATTAGTTGATAAAGTAAGTCAGAGATCATTTTTAGAAAGATGTCGCATTATAGATTAGTAAACGATAATGATATTGTGACGTTCCGGTTTCTAATTCAATTTTTAAAGAAATAATTACCATTTTTTTGATCCTGACATTCTGTTTTAGTAAAATAACTATACCACAGCACTAAACTGACATGACAATGACATGACATAACATAACAACCAATTTTCGTTCAAAAATTAAAACCTGAGAATTAGAATAAAAAAATCTCACATTTAATAAAACAACGCATTAAAAAATTAATTCTAAATAACAATTGCCTGTAATCGTGCATTTTCACATTAAATATTGAACTAGTCAATGTATGTGTTTTGTGTACATATCGTAGTATCTTTAAAAGATGGTCACAATATATGTGAGGTATCTATAACTATTTTAAATTTTATTCCAGAAAGCTTTCTTCTTAGGTGACCAAAAAGAAACCTTTTGAAAATCGATTACAATTTATAATTATTAATAAATATTTGGTTTTTAAACGAACTGGATATGTCACTGTAATTGTCAATTTGCTCAAAATTTGTCTCATCAGCCTGATATCAGATGATACACAATGACTAAAAAATGAAAGGAATAGAAACTAGAGTTATTTATACTTTCGTCATACAGTAGCGGTTTTCTTTGCGTGGGAATTTCGAATTCAAACCTTTCATTGATAATACTTTAAAACATTTAAAGGTCAGTAAATTGTTACTCATCCTATCTTTAGAATTCGCCTAGTGATTGTGAAATATAAATATATAAGTATTTTAATCTAGTTTAAATTAAAGGGAAGGCGGAAAGACGATTTTATAATATTTTGATAGTTTTAAAAATAGGTGGTATAATTGGATAGCGGGTGGGTGAGGGAAAGACGTACGGATAGGTGTTAACTTGTTAGTTGCATTCTAATGTCTGGCGCGCACGGCCAGGTATCGGTCGTATTGCTGCACCGCACTGCACGCACGAGAAAGTCATCTAGTCACGCATTTACATTTTATTTCACGAAAAATAAAATCATAGCTTGGTGCTTTAAGCTGTTTTGACCCAATATATATTCGCATTTGAGTGATAATCTCCGTAACAATATAGTTAATGATTACTAGATGACATACAGTTAACAAATAGCATTGGCAGGTATACTAATGTTGAGTTTGTGAGACTTTTTAATCAATTGAAAACAAAAAATTTAAGGCATAATTATTATAACTGAAATGAATAGAATTGAAATTTGTTAAATCAAATATCAGGAAAAAACAATGGCTGCAGAAGAAGGTGGTGTTCCAGTTGATCTCTACATCTATGATTTGACCCATGGACTTGCTTCGCTGCTGTCTCCAGCAATCCTGGGTGAGATTTAATAAATTGAATTTAACAGTGATAAAAAGCTCTCAATTTCCCATTGGAATGTAAGTAAATTGTTGGTGATATTCATACTTTCAGCATTTTGTCAGATTTTTAAACATGATTGGCTATTATTGCATTTCCAATATAGTGATATATTGCAAAAGCTAGGTTTGCATAATTGTAGTAATGACATATATTAAAAAAATGGTATTTATGGCACATTACTTTGCCTTTCCCCTATCCATTAATTATATTGAGTAATAACTATTTCAAAAGTTTCTATATTTGTAACTTGAGGTTTCAATATTTATAAATAGTGATGTAAAGTTTATTAAACACATACAAAGCTTTTATATTATGTTATATGAACAAATTCAAACGGAATACCCTTTCACCCTAATGTTTGGTTTTCTGTTATTTTTCTGGGTCACTGTTGATAATAGATGACCTAAATAGGATATACATATATGCAGATATATTTAAAATTGTATGGGTGCCCCTTTTTACTTAAACTTCTTCCTCCTTATTCCACTTAGGTGGAGTCAGCTCAACATGTGAATCATGTTGCTCCTTGGGAATAAATACCCAGACCCACAACATTTATCTGTGGGTCACACAAATATTTAGGAATCAAACCCACACCAAAGTCAATAGCTTAGCCACTACTACACCGAGTACTGTTTACGTCATTATACATACTATCATAAATAGATGTTATAATACTTCATATTAAGTAGTATGTGTTATAATAATTATTTATAGTTTCATTATGCGTACTGATAATCGCATTTAATGACTCTGTACGGATTATAAATATGTACGTCTGTTGACAGGTGCATTAGCCCACTATTTTAGTATTAGCCAAGTACCTCAAATTCTCATCTACACCTATCAGGTGTAGATGAGCATGTGTGGTGGTGTTTATTGACATCATGTTAACCGTCAGTTTGCTGGCGAAATTTCCATTATAACAAAACAAGAGCAAATAGTTCAATTTCACGAGATCTTCACTCTCCGTAAATACGCTGGCTGACGAAGAATTTGTTTTAATTAGTATTTTCAATTTATCCAATAGCAATATCTATGTGTTGCCCTTTGGTTTTTCCCTTTGGTTAACGCTTCTTGTACCTAAGTCCAGTGCTAAATATACAGTAGGGAAACCCAGAGCTAGTGTCCCAGGTCGGAAAATTTCCGACTGCGGATTGGCGGACTTTAGAAATATTTTTTGATACCTATTATGTCGAAAATATGCAGAATTCCTCAGTTTCCACTTTACCGCTGAGGACGCGATAAATCGTCTTGCCTAAGTCTATATTAAAGATGAAAATAAGACAGTATTTGCGACTTTTCGTTTGTTTACACCAATTTTACTGAGTCCGCTTTGCTTGGTATGAGTTAGATTTTAGCGAGATCCCGTTTGTTTCCAGGGCGACAGATCGAGGGCGTTTGGCATACGTCTGTGGTTGCCTTCGATCGGGAGTTCTTCTATGGCGGCTCGGGCGTGACCAGCTGCGCTCCGGTAAGAAATTCTAACTACGAAGTAGAGAGTTCTTTCTAGAAAGTATCGTGCCCCGGACATTTCTTGACCTAACCCAAATGTATGTAAATACTACACTTGTTAATAATAAGCGTCGCGAAGAGAGCCAATGGACAATGACCCCTGAGGATGTTGAAGATCGGGTTGAGTAGACGAGTTTGAGTAAGTCCAAGCAATAGCTAGGATTAATGTCAGGTAGAAGAAGATGCAGTTGTTAATAATAATAATACAGACTACATACAGACAAGCTCGTATTTAGTCTACTGAGTGAAAGCGCAAACATTAATAAAAAAAACTGTTGGAGAAATTGTGTTTGCATGAAAGGTGTTGTTTATAAAACCGTACTTGAAGATGTTTTTTTGAAAAAAAAATACAGTATGCAAATAATTGTTTTAGAAGAAATTTGTGTTCAATGCACCATTCTTGATGTTAGAATCCACGTGATTTAACGTTTGGAATACGTTGAACGTTTGTTCTGAATTAAATGTCGAGTATAAGATATTTCCCATGCAGTACGAAATTGGATGAATTGATCGCCGGTGCCACTGCGAATACCAAATAGTATTGTCACAACAAGAATATTTAGCTAAACCACAATTAAAATACTAAAACTATTTGAAAATTACGTGTATACTTGCTGAAAACTGTCATTCCTGTTCCTTAGAAGCTCGTAAATACCATATCATTTTTCACACGTAAACCTTAAGAATGCGTTACGTAGTTGTGATATTTGCGCGCATACGTTATTTTTGATGTCCATGCTATTCTGGTATCGCTCTGTCGATAAATATATCAGCCTAATATATCGCTATGGTAAATGTGTAATGTACAATTAACAAGGACATAGTTAAATGTTCGAAAGAATAGAAAATGTTTCGAAGATACGCAAATTTGCACTTTGGCCATGCAAACTATGCCCTAATCCTCCATGTCCAAAGGTAGCCACTGCCCAGGTGTGGAACAAGTATACAGCGTGTCTTTACAATGGCGACAATAAATAAACACTTATATAACTTTAAAATTGTATTAAACATTTACATTCTTAAACATCAATATTTACAAGGTTATAAAATTTTCCAAAACAAAGAATTTTAGAACACCTTTACGTATAAAACTGTAACGTAAATTTCATTTGTAAAGGTCACAAAGCATATGAATGGATTGAATGAATTTAAAAGAGACAAAACACACTGTTAGAAGGAGAGGCTTGTAATGCGACGCTGTGGCACGCCACACGAGATAACACCCTGTACAACTCACGAGTTGTACAGGGTGTTACAAATTTTGTTTCTTTTTTACTTAATTAGTTAGTTTGAAATTTTTTTTATTATGGATTTTGTTTAACAATAATATGTTTTTATGATTATTGGCAAGTAGCGTTAGACGTGTGCTCATTTATTGTCGCGATGGTAACGACACGCTGTATACAGACTATACTTTAGATATAGATTAGTGTTGAGAACAGCCTAATTGTTTAACCACCGTTTCGTAATTACTTCGTTTTTTGTATCAATAAAATTGGGTAAAAATACAGAACAAGTTCTCTGATCTGATGTTCTGATTTGATAATTTAAGCTTGAAACATTCACGACCATTTGAGCTAACATTTGTGAAAATTATCTCCCAAGGAGTTTCACTCCGTACAATTATCGCATCCGATAGGAAACGAACGTAATTTTGAGTTAGAAAGTAATGTTGCTGTCACGTACCACGACGTTTACAAGCATTGTACTCAATCACAATATAATAATAAACATCAGCTTTGGAGATGATTAAATGCGTACTTGTGGCGGTGTGGTTCGCCGACAGTATTGTGGGGCGGCAGAGGCGCGTGGCCACTTGCGTCGAATTGACGAGACGCGTGGTTCATGAGCAGTTGGCGTAATTCCCCTCGCGTCTCTACCGATGGTCTATGAGAGTCCATATTGAATGACCATGCATAAAGACTTGCGTGAAGTTTGTACAGAATCACACCCTCTTTCTGAAACGTTAACGGTGACCCGACATAGAATGTAGTCGCAAAACTCCGTTCATAAAACTGAACACCTTCGTACCTTATCTCTGATTGCTTATTTATTTAAAATTCGAATTGGCTTTGCGTGTTTCCTTTGAAATCTTTTATGTTAAATGCAATGACTCTTGTAGTAAGCTTATAAAATCATTACAGCGAATAGGCTTTTCAGCGCGTCCAGTTGCAGGTGGTATTAATTACTCTCACGCTTTATGTTATCAAACTGCGTTTAAAATAAATTAAAAACGATATTTCCGGACCGTAGCAATTTAGGGACCTTCAAGAAGAGAGCCTTCTCCAACCTCAAAGGTCAGAACGCAGTTGTGACTTCTTCGATATTGCAAGTTTGTATAGGTGGTGGTGATAGCTTACCATCAGTTGAACCGGTTCCGTTTTCCATAAAAAAAACTATAGGAACATTTACTGTGTAGGACGTCGCAACGGTTTCTGCTGTTTCACGAATAAGATGACGTGACATTAGAGTATTATTATTAGGGAGAATTTATTCTTTCCGATTTGCCGTCACCCGAACTATCCTGCCCTCAAAGATTTTAGTAGTCGCCATTGATCATTTGTCTTCACGCGTAACGATTTTTTCTCAGTCAACTACGCTTAAAAGCAGGTTACGTGGATCGCCCACCGTCACTGAAACGTATCTTTAAGTCGGAGCGTCTTGTGTTACGCCCACGCAAGCATTATTTCTGGGCACCCCATGACAGGCCTCCATAATCAGACTCTCGTCTTGTCTCCATTCAGGTTGCGGGTTTATGAGGACATGCCTTTTATAGGCCATTTGGCTTGCGGAATGCGCGGATTCGCTACCATTGTTTTTGTACGCGTCGTAAGGATTTTATGACACTGCTCTTGGAATTTTCAGATGTGATACGTGTCTCAAAACTGCTAGTTCAATGATTTTTAGTAAAAGTAAACAGTCAACATTAGTTAAATACTAATGAAATTGATTTCTTTGATGGTTTGGTGGCTTCACAATGATACATGTGACGTGTCGTGTTGTTAATTTTTGGTGTCGTATTTTTATCGGTTTTAAATGCGAAAAAAATTCGTACACAATATACGGCATATAATATATAACTCCAGAAACCCATTTTTACTGTAATGATAATATGTATATTTCTATTGTCTGAAATGCGATTTAAGTATTACCAAAAATCATAACTGTTTTCTTGTATTTACTGGAATACTACAGTTAGTATGAATTAACTATAAAAGTTTTACGACACTTTAATCCGTCTGAACCTAGTTTATAACAACTTGACGGTGCCGAGTTAAAAATACTTTCGACTCAAATCACAGCAATTTAATAATAATTCAGTAAAACCAAAGGGCAAACGTCTCGTCTATGGATTAGTGTACAATTTAAGGTAGATCAAAGTAAAGAAAATATTGTTGACTTTAAGATACTTTTATACGCCAAAAGAAAGAGTTTTTATAACGAGTTCTATCTAATCCGTTATAAAAATAATCTTAGGCGGTGATATTGTCAATTACTACTATCCCATATATATACAAGTTCTGTATTTTTGTTGGAAAAGTACACGATACAGACATCGTTATCGGGAAAAATTGTATTCAAAAGTAAGTTTTACTATGATATTTCGGATATTATCAGAAGTTCACCATATTTGGTTACATGTATCGCCTACCATTAGGTGCTATAGTCAAGAACTTTTCGGTTGTTAAAAAACCATCATCATATCATCGCTTGGATGCTTTTTTTGTTTGCAAGCGAGCAGGCATTTCCCCCTATGTTAAGTGATTACCGCCGCCGAAATCTACACTGATTGCAGAGGCCAACTATTAAAAAAAACTGGCCACCTCATTCACCCGATTCAATAGGAATAACTCCCACTTCACGCCAATCTTCTGTCAGGTTGTGGTATTTCACCAGACGAACCTGCCCATTCGTGCAACAGCAGACGCCGTTGTCTGGCCCTATCACATCAAATTCCATTCTCTTTACGTTATGACCCCCTCCGAATCTTACCACTACTTGTGCAAGCGTAATCTTACCTCGGTCGTAAACACTCGGCGACGTCCGTCGAATTATCACGTCGCGTGTAATATTAGCCCGCGTATTAATAACTTCGCGACGTCCACGCTCCTCAGGTGCCACGTGTCCAGCGCTCGCGTTATTCCCGTCTTTTTGTTTGCGATCCGAGTCACCAGCGAACCGAGACCCCGCGCCGGTGCTTTCTCCTCGGCGGCGTGGTCCAACTCCGGCTGGCCGACGATTCCCCGAAGGCGCCGTAAACATTCCGTTTGGGCGGCGGCGCCCGGCCAAACTGACAACGAATGCATCGAACGCATTTGTGTTTACACCAATATGATCCATCAATTAATGTCTAATTTTAAAGGCGAGGATCTTGTAAGTTCAGATAATTCAATGTAGAAAGTCTAACTTCTCTTTCTTGTTAATAAAGTAAGTTACAGTTTATATTTGTCCCACTGCTGGCCAAAGGCCTCCTATGTACAGAGGGTATTAGAATGGATATCTCAGAAATATTTTTTAATAAAAAGTGCACATTCCGCTGAGCACGTGATAACTTATTTATGATCAAATTTTATTTTGAATTTTCCGGCTTTTGAACTACAATAAGTATAGTAATGAATCGAGCAGTGTTTGACGTAAAACCCAATCAACTGATTTCTTATGAATTCTCGGTGCACATTCGGTATGGCATTGCAAGTAAAACGAGGTTGCTAGTATGAGTACCCTTTTTAAACGACTTCAAAAAGGGGGAGGGTATCAATTCGGATCTTTGTATGTTTTTTTTCCATATCGCCCGCACTCTCAATGACGATCGCTCGCCGTTACCTGTTTAGTTAAATACAAATTTAGAGCAGTGTTCTGTTTGACCCACTTGAGAACGTCCGCTGGTCGGTTTCACCGTCTTATTTATGAGGACAAATCGATTTAAACAACTATGTTGTTTCAACAAAAATATCTCGGGTGTTAATGTTTTTCACGTTTAAGTTTCGTAATAGTTTTGTACTTGTTGATTCAAAAATTAAATGATTTTACTTCGTGTTATTATAATCATTCCCTCGTCACAGTGAAACGTTTTAATTTCCTGGAAATTTCTGGAATTATCAGGAAATTAAAGCGTATTATTACAATGGAATTATTTTACTTTTTCTTGTCATTCTTTTCTATCATTCTTTGTAAGCTGCCTGGAAGTAATCAATCTAAGTGCAGAAAAAATTTAAGACCGTTGCTTTTAATCTAGAAAATGTTCTTCAAATTCTGTCGAACTAAATGTGAAGGGTGGTGTCAAATCACATACACATATAGGTTATATCGTTCTGCACTGCTTGCTACATTCATCTCTAAATTGTTGGCGCAATAAATCAAGAAGTTTAACTTCTTTACTGAAATGATTATAATGATTTTGATTTAAAACATACAGGCATCCGAAAAATCCCCTATGCAACATTTATTCTTAGGTGAGAGTGCAGAGCACGGTGGCCGACTTTTCGGAACTGTCGCATTGCAACCACCACACGTGCGGTCTATATTCTGAAACACGAAACCGATCGCGACTCGGCGAACTGTCTTCGTCTCGCTCTCTTCTAGGGAATTCCCCATGTATACATCGCTCCGTTCCACTATCGCGCGGAACGTTTCGTCCAGGAATGTTTGAAAACGCAAAGGTGAATTTGTTTTTTTCTTGTCGCGCTGTAAATGTCAAGCGTGGAGAAGCAAATGCCCGTCTACGATTTATGTCTATGCCTTGTTATTAGCCGTCGAGATATTAAATGGTGGTTTATTTGCGGAATTCGTCAGAACTACACGGCCACCAACGTGAAATTGTGCGCTTTCAATCTAGCGAATTTACTGCCCCATTAAGATGTCGCTATAATTAGTAACCGATTTCCGCCTTGCTTTGGCTTTCGGATAATAAGACTTCAAGCAATATAACATGAGAAAATTTTTGTATGCGTTAGGATTTAAATAGATAAATTAACTTTTATCTAACACAAACACTGTTGGTTTGGATAGCAAAAAATAACATGTGTTGTGATTATCTAAAATAGCCACACTCACTCCAAGTCAAATGAGATATGTCGTTTCGTCTGGTGAGTGAGGTAGCCGGGTTTATAAGGTGGCAACGCATCCGCAAATACGGGTATTTCAAATAATCACGGGTGGCGGTGACCTGCCCATTCGTGCAACAACCGAAGCTGTTGGGTGGCCCTACTACAGTCAAAATGTTAAGTGATTGAGGTATAACCCGTGTTTTTTTTTGTTAAAAATTTGTATAACGTTGTATGGAACAGCGAATATACCGTAGATTTTTGTATGATTGCAGGGCAGCACGCAGCTGGGCGCCCCCCACCAGGTGGAGCGACTGGGCAACACGTTCGTGCCCTTCCAGGTCTTCGTCGACTATATGCAGGGCCTCGCAACAACCACATACACGTGAGTATAGTCATCGACGTACACATATCATTTAGCTAGCAGCACATATCTAGTGTAGCTGAGTTCCAAACCTAAAAAGAAGGAAGACTAACAAGCCGATAGCTAACGGTGGTAGGGCCACGCAGCAGCCTCGGCTGTTACACGAATGGACAGGCTCATTCGGGTAGGTATCACGGCCTCACAGAAGACCGGCGTAAAGTGGAAGTATAATACTTTCGCGTTTCGTCTGGTGAGTGAGGTAGCCGTAGCCCAAGTTTCAAAAGGTATCTGGAACCCTCTGGTGTAGCAGATGTCCATGGGCGGCGGTATTCACCTAACATCAGGTGAACCGTCTGCTCGCTTGGCAATTTTTCACATTAAAAAAAACCTTCACTAGTTGGAGAGGCACCTTAAGAAGAAGCAGATAGTAGTGTAGCCGTAAAGCCAGATATATTGTATTCTATTTTGCGTGGTCCCAACGACCATTGCGATCTAGAAGATCTATTGTAATCTTCACTTTGAAAAAATTGCCTCCTTAAAGTACGACAAAATTATCCTGTGTTGTAAGGAAGTTTAACAAACACACATTTCACGTGGACAAACACCCAGATCCGAAACAATTATCTAAGGGTCACACGAATAGTTGTCTCGTGTCGGAATCGAACCCACGACGCACGGTGTCGAATCCAATCTCACGGCAGCTGCGGCACGCAGTGTGCTAACGGTGCGCGTGTCTTAACTGTGTTAAGACCACGAAACAACCTCGGCTGTTGCAGGAACGGGCAGGTCCGTCCGGGTAAGAACCACGAACTCGCAGAAGACCAGCGTGAAGTGAATTTTTCACACTTCCCCGTTTCGTCATATGAGCGAGGTAGCCGGGGCCCACTTAATTATAAGGTGACAACGCATCCGCAACGGTACGGACCGCCAGCCCGCCACTTTCACTACATAATATAGAACAAAGTCGTCCCGCTATCTATCTGTCCCTATCTATTAGATCTTTAAAACTACGCAACGGATCTTGATGCGGATTTGTATGTATGATACATTGCGCCCGTGCGGTGCCGGGGCGGGGCGCTAGTCTCACATGAAAAAAACCGCAGGCCCGCCGCGTACCGCCTGCTGGAGCACAACTGCAACCACTTCAGCGACGAGGTGGCCCAGTTCCTGTGCGGCGCCAGAGTGCCCAAGCACATAGTGGCGCAGCCCGAGCAGGACCTGCCGCCCCCCCTGCGGGGTGCGCTCACCGCACTCCTCGACCAGCTCGTGCCAGCTGGGGACCAGGTGGGAACGATATCGATTAAGCGTTCCCGCATTAGGGCCTTTTATCTTATCCCGCCGCCCCCCTTTTTATTTTTGGTTTGCATTGGAAAATGTACAGATGGCAGTCGTGTTGACGAAGCGTTCTCGCATTACGGCCTTTAATCTTTAAACATGTTTGTTTTCATTTTTGAGGCAAACGTGAGCAGGTGATTTTGGTATAACCGGATTTCACTGACAAATTAAAGCAACTGTGGGACTGTACTGAACAGAATAGTCCCATAGTTATTCGTAAATCTTCAGACCTGTACAATGCAACCGGCACGCTTACATAACAAGAATGACAGTGTTAAAATGAATGATATATACAATAATGAAACAGTGTTAAAATCCTTCACCCAATTATATATCGACGCAAGAAAACGTATTTGCTGTAAGTAACTGAATACTAACTTTTCACTACGGCCAAATACTTTTTTAAAATTGAAAAAAAAATCATAACTTTTTAACCATAAGTGACTGAAAGATGATTTTTTGAACTTAGTTTCATTAAATTGCGGCTAATAATGCAATTAAGTATTTTGTCTTGTCCCACTATTTCAGTCTTCGTTAGCACTTATTAATTCGCTAATTCCCTTTTTATTATTCGTTTATTTCTTTATGTTAACTAACGCACTTTAGTTGATGGAGTTCCCGTTGGTTCCCTCAGACGGTGTACGCGAACGGAGTACGCCACAGCCGCCAAGACAGCCCCGACTACCTCACACTCAACAACCAAATCGAGGAGGCCAGGTGAGCCAACCGAACGGATAGACTCCGACGCTAAGTGTTCCACCGTACCAGCTCCTCATTTCACCAGAGTTCAGCTGGCCCGGAGTACTCAGATCTTGTCTGAACCGTTTGTGGGCTAGCAATGTTTGTTTGCACGCCCTTGAAAACGAAAGGACATACGCGCCCGAAATGAAGGGACATATATCAAAAATGTTATTAAGCGTATTTTTTAAAGAGTTCTGCGTGCAGTACAGAGCAATGAAGTTTAGGAGGCTCCCTTTTTATAAGTCGAAGTCGAAGTCAGCCGAGCCAAGAGGCGTTTGTAAGAAATTGACAAATTAAGCTTATGATTTGGACAAAAGGAATGTCGTGATCTGGAAGCAAACCCCATTTTATCTCACTGCGGCTTTTTTGGGACTTAGTAAAGGGGATGGCCTGATGGGATGTTGTGAAAAAGGTTATGAAAAAGTAATTTAGCTCTGATAAGGGGTGGTAGGTGGTAACCCACCACGGTTATTTCCTTGCTTTAAAACGTTAACTCATTGTTATCTATGGACGATCTACGAGTAGAGTGCACAGAGTAGGTAATGCACAGAGGGCTTCACGGCCAATTGACTTTTAGTTACGTCTGTACGGATATAAAGCTACGAATAGAGTGCACAGAGTAGGTAATGCACAGAGGGCTCCACGGCCAATTGATTTTTAGTTTCGTCTGTACGGATATAAAGCTACGCAGTAGTAGAGTACACAGAGTAGGCAATGCGCAGAGGGCGTTCTGACCGCTGCGTCGGCACAGAGGGCGCGGCGGTCGGCACCGGCGCCCGCTGCGCCGCGCTGCTCTGTGCCGCTCTGCGCGCGGCTGCTCTGTGGCGCGCGCTCCGCCGCCGGGCGCCCCCCGCGCCCCGCTCCCGCTCCCCCTCGCCCGACCCATTCTGAGCCCCTCCGTTTCTATTCCTCGCATTTGTATCAATAAACCATTCCCGCCTCACGAACGTCTTTCTGTGTGTAGCAGTAGTAAGACACAACCATACAGCTTTCAGCTAGAGGGATAAGGTATCCTGTCGCATTGGAGACAGATAAGTGAACGATGTGTGAGATCCTCACCGGTAAAACCCCGACGGTGGGCCCACGGCACGTTGAAAGGGCTTCCGAGAGTTATTCTATGAAACGCTACTGAGAGGGACGGCCCTTGCTCCCTCGCTGCTTTGCGGCTTGAGATCAATTTATGGTGCACCAACTGGGTCCACTGTAATGGACGTCCAAAGTTAATTTTACAATCCCGTCAATTTCTGATCCGATTTAATTTCTAAACTTAAACCTTAGATTCTTGTCTGGTAAAAGTGCTTAACGTTTCATTCAACATTTGCTTCGTGCGCCAGAGCGTATGGGTTCGATCCCCACTACTGGAAATAATAGGTTGGGGAAAAAGTTTCTTCGCATTTTATATGAAAACTCAAAACGCATTTTTTTTATTATTTACATTTAACTAAAATATATATCATAGGTGCCATTTTATTCGATAACTTTCTGCCATCTTGTAGGTGATCCAATTGCTATAGAAATTCTGGGGCTTCTCATCAAAAAACCGTGACAAGTGGTTTTGGCAGTCCTCTCGTTGATGTTAACCTGACACTCCCTAAAGAATTCTGAAGTGACCGAAACAAGTGGAAATCTGAAGGTCTCTATATGTCAGGACCATACGGCGGATGCATTAACACCCCCCAGCCAAACTATCTTAATTTTTGATGCTGAGTGGCTAAAGATGTGTGAGGTCTAGCGTTATCATGATGAAAAACCAAACCCCTGCTGTTGATTAATTCCGGCCGCTTTCTCTAAACTTCTTGCTTTAATCTCATCAGTTGTTCGCAGCAGAGTTCAGATTCGATGGTCCTGCCTGGCGGTGATGAATAATGCCCTTCCAATCCCACCATACACACGACATTACCTTGTTGCGAGATAACCCGGGTTTCACCAGAGTCTGTAAAGCCCCACCAGCCTTTGACCACGACCTTTTTCGCACGATCTTGTCCTACGTCATCCACTTTTAATCACCAGTTATCAGGTTTCTCAAAAATGGTTCGGTTTCATTACGTCGTAATAAAGAATCACAAATGAGTGCATTGTTCATTAGGTTTCTTTCAGTGAGCTCATGAGGCACCCAAATATCGAGCTTTTTTGTGTACCCAGCTTTTTTCAAATGCGCCAAATCTGTTTTGTGGTCAATTCCCAGTTCTTCAGCTACATCGTAACTACTGATATGCTGATCTTACTCTACGTTTTCAAAAATGGCATCCATTTTACCCGTAACAGGGCCCAGAGCGATGTGCACCTTTGACATCAAAATTTCCGGATTGAAAACGCTTAAAACAAATTTGTGCTACTCTCACAGACACTGCACTAGGTCCATAAACATCACAAATTTTTTTCGCGGCTTGCGTTGCATTTTTACCTTTTTTGTGGTAAAATTTTAAAATGTATCGAATTTCTTCATTAAAATCACTCATCTTAACAGTAAGAAAAACAAATGAAAATCACAAATTTTAATCAAAATTGGGAATTATCATTTTAAAATTTAAAATTTAAAAAATACCAAAACCAGCCAGATACAAATGGTATAGCCAAAATGGTTATATTATAAGTTCATACATACTATTTGCGAAAAGAGTTTTTCCCCAACCTATTATATCGTCGGTACAATAGTAAACTCGCCAATCTAACAGATTGGTTGTTTTGACATAAGTGTACTTAAGTGTATTGACTTCTATTGTATCGACGATATTGTGACATGATATTTATGTAACTTTAATATGTATTCATTTACGATGAAATTTTTAATTTCAAGTGATGAATTATCACGTGCTCAGCGGTGAAGGAAATCATCGTGAGGAAACCTGCATATTTTCGAAATAATAATTAAAAAAATTATTTCGAAGATATGTGAGGTCCGTCAATCCGCAATGGGGCCGCGTGGAGGACTATGCCCTGATACCCTCTGTACAGACGAGGCATTTGCCCAGCAGTGGGAAATGTATAGGCTGATACTTAAATTTTTATTCGCATCAACATATACGATGTGCAATATCTAATAAAGCCACACACATGTAGTTGGCACATGTGTCGTAGATCTGCTTTTCCAGCTCAGGAGCGTGGGCGTGATTTTATTCCCAACCGTACAACATATAGTCATCGGTAGGAATGCAAGTGTCTCTCTGAACTCTGACCTCTCTTAACTGATGATAGATAAAAAGATGCAGCTGTCAGTGTTCAAAGTAAAAGTGAAAATTTCTTCATTCGACATAGGATTATTTTAAGCTCTTATTGAACGTCAAAATACTGCTACCAGATCACTGAGCTAGACCTTTTCAGAGAAGAACCGACAAGAAAGTCTACGGTCTTATTACATATTTTTTTATAAGTTTTTTTATAATTTTTAAGTATAAAATCAGCAGCAGGCAGTGGCAAGTGCAGAGCAAGAGTCATTTCCACACATCCTTGTTTTTAAACGCACTATATCAGTAAAAGTTTAATTTTCCATCTTCCTATAAATAGGCACACGTTGTATTCTAAAGGAAAGACTCTTACTATTGAACGACGAAGCTAACCGCTCGGTACCCGTATCGACCGGAAGGTGGCTACCGAGGAACTTTTACTGGGTTCGAATCCCACAACCCTATCATGTCAGGGATCAGGAGGATGTACGACAGGGACCTTTTCAAACCCCCCCATAACAAAAAAAAATCCCATATCGACAACAAAAGGGAACGAGGTATCACTATATGTACGCTATATGTCCAATGTTATAATTTTATATTTGATTGGTCATTTGTAAACAGCAGGTGATAAACGTTATGAGTTATTCATGAGACGGAAAATATGCAGGTTTCCTCACGATGTTTTCCTTCACCGCCGAGCACGTGATAATTCAGCACTTAAAATTAACAATTTCTTTGGTGGTTGCACCGGGGATCGAACTCAGGTAGCTCGAGTAAATCGAATTAAACGCGAGCGCCCGGACACTGAGCTATCACAGCTCTTGAAATTTTATAAACATAATGGTATAGAAATGCCACGCAGTTGCTTCAGCTGTTGCAGTAACGGACCGGGTCGTGTGAAAAAGTAGATACTTTTTCACACGACTTTTGAGATCAAAAGGCCGGCGGAAAGTAAAAGTTTTATATTACGTCATTCGTAGTGAGTACTCGTAACCGTATCTCGTCCACGTAAACGGTTACATCGCAATCGCAAACTCACCGTCGTTACTATAGGTTAATTATTAATATTTATTATAAGTTTGTGATTAAGATTCAATACTTTCATAAGCTGCTGTTTATAACTGCTCTTTGTCTGTATGACAAGGAAACGATTTTTTTTCTGCCAATAAATTCATTGTGTTGCAAATGTCAATGGTTATCCCTTACGTAGGATAATTCTGCTTCACGCCGGTCTTTTCTCAGGTCGTCATTTGTGCTACAGCGTAGACTGTTGTGTGTCCCTACCACAGTTATCCAAGTAACACGACCTCACAGAAGGCGTTTCGTCTGACGTGTGAGGTAGCCGGGACATACTTCATTAAAAGGTGGCAACGCATCTGCAACCCTACGGGTGTTGCAAATGCCAATCGAAAAGGGCGACGGCTATCACTTAACATCAGGTGAACCGCATCTCGCTCGCCATATTTCTCACATACAAAAAAGAACCTCGAAAAAAAAATGTATAGCCAGTGAGATATTTGAAGTCGGTGGCTTGGAATGACTTTGAACTGGTCCCATGATACCCTCATGACGCGAACGCACCGCCAGGCTGCAGTCGCAGGAGCTGGAGCAGCGACGGAGCACCCTCGCCGAGAAGCTCGCGCGCAAGGAGCGCCGCCGCGAGAAGAAACGGAAGAAGCACCAACGGGATCACCCCGACGGGCAGCCCGCTGATGACCTCGATGATGGTGAGAGAAATTTACGTTAAGGGTTTCTTTTGTCAACGGTACTTATAATTGTGTGTTTACAAGATGAGCTCGATGATGGTGAGCGAAATTTAGGGTTTATTTTGTCAACGGTACTTGTAGTTTTATGTGTACCGTCGACAATGAATATATACTTTTTTAATCCCGATCAGCAGCTGTGTGACAAGCTCGTAGACGGTAAGGGAGCTTAAGAGCGCTGACCGTTACAAAATGAACTCATTAATTTGTCAACGGTCCTTGTATACCGTCGACAAAAAAAAATATATACATTTTTATCTTGACTAGCAGCCAGTCGACGAGCTCGATGATGGTAAGAGAATTCTTAAGAGCGTATGTTGGCCGTTCACTTCGGAATGGCCGACCGTTACAAAATGAGTGTTAGATTAACGCCCGGTTTCTGAAACACTGATCATCGTAGAAGTCAACTAACTAGCTGTTAAATGGATTTTCAAATGTTATTAGAGTTGCCAAAAGGTGATCAGTGTTTCAGAAACCGGGCGTTAAGGTTTTATTTTATTTGTCAACGGTACTTGTAGTTGTTCGTGTACGGTCGACAGAAAATTATATTCTTTTTTTAATGTTACCATTTAATGACTGTGCATAATGTATGTAAAGATTTTGATGTATGTTGACAAGTTTCATGGTACTTTCGCATCTATAGTGATAGTAAGGAGGGATTGTAAGGTATTGAGTTCGGTTAAGACAAACATTTTAAACCTAACAATGAGGAAGTTCGTAAAACACGTTGCTATCCGTACGATGCCGGTCCGATTTGAGTCATAGGGCGTTGGTCAAAGGTCTTCTTCAAGTGAACGGCTAAAGCATTGGTTTTTAGAAGAAACAGGTGAGTGGGGATTTTAAACGCTTTCTGTATGAGCCGTCAGCGAGACACCAAACGTCATCAATCGTGTTAAAGCAAGTAAAACGTTTTTCTAACAGATTGGCACCGTAGATGACGTTCATTATGTAGGATGACGTAAATTCGCCATATCATCCTACCCTCAACTAGGCCCTAATGTCCCAGGGGGCGGTGGGCCTGGCACTATGCCTGGGTTATATGGTCCGACCACGATGTCGAAACAGCCGTGTTCAATTTATTATACTCGAACAACAGAGTTCGAATCCCGGTGCCAGCACCAATGAAATTGTCAATTTTAAGTGCTAAATTATTATGTGTGCCGGTGAATGAAAACTGAATAGTTTCGAAATAATAGCAAAACATAATATTTCGAAGATATGTGAATTCAATCTTCATTCAAGTCCAAATTTATTTTTATTATATCTGTTTCTGTTTCCCTTGTCACTTCTTTTGCATCACTAGTAGTAGTATAGTCCTAACCGTACATATGCTTGTTCCCCCCAGCAGACAGGCTACCTTTCGAAGACTCAAACTTTATTGACTCAAATTGAAAACTGTCTCCGTTGCTAAAGAAGCTAGCGGGAATCTTGTATCCCTCGTTGAGAATTACAATCCAGTTGACCTCTTGTCCCTCGACGTGACAATTTATTCGACCTTATCCAAACGGCAATATGGTAGAGCAAACATTAGTACCCAATATATGAAAATTTATCATCACAGAATATATGCTCAACATCTTGTATGTTTAACAAGTTGAGTAAACGGCCGCATATTGGGGGCAATTGCGACCAATTGTGTTGGCTGTGATTGGTTGATGTTGTTATTTCCCCCCAAAAGTTAAAAACTGCCCTGTAGAGGCATAAAAGTAAACCACTGCGTAATCGAATGCACTTTCGGAAATTCGAATTGTTTCGGTCATTATACCACCCTTTAAAAAACGCGTTGAAGGACACAAACGTTTTTGTATGATGATAACCACATATTCACACTCGGTGTCGGGATTTGTCCATAAGTTTAACATTTTCGTCGAAATTTCTTGCTGTCTATAAGTATCTGATGTGAGCCTTGCGCGGCAACTATGTCTTAGCGTGAGATGGCGCTGCATAGTTGTTTGTAATTTTTTATCTGTATTCAAACTGTTGACAAGCTTATAGAATCCTTTAATTTTTTCTTGGAAACTTGGTCCATTCTTTATACACTCTTAAATATAAAGCATGAAAGCTCAAGAAAGGAAACTGAACTGAATTTTAAGCAATTATGTTAATTGATGAATGAATAAATATACTTTATTGCACACGAAAATAAAATGAACACATCAAAACTTAAATAGATACTATGGGTATAAAGGGCGGCCTTATTACTAAAAGTAATCTCTTCCATGCAACCTTTGGTTGGACTAAAAAGAAATTAATTTAGGAGTAACGCTCTGGGTTAATTATCCGAATGAAGGAAATAAATAAATACGTTACGAAAAGTTGTTAAGCAAGCAGCAGTACGAAGTGGTATCGAGCTGCTGCAAGATGGTGAAAAAAAAAAGATGGATCACCGTAAGTTAATAATTGATTACCTCATTCACCAGACTAATCATGAATGTATACTTCAACTTGACGCTGGTCTTCTTTGAGGCGGTACTTCCCCGGACGAACCGGCCGTTTTTTTTTGGCCTTCGTGCAACACCATAAGCAGTTGCGTGCTAACACTCCTTTACCACTCATTACAACCGTTTCCAATACATTTACACATCTTCGTTAGACTTTGTCTCGGTATAGAATAGAGAATCTTACAGAGCGTGTCGTAACAACCGAAAATAAATGAACACACGTCTAACGCTACTTGCCAATAATCATAAAAAAATATAAAACGTTAAAGAAATCAATAATTAAAAAAATATATTTTTCAAACAAACTAATTAAATAAAAAAGAAACAAAATTTGTAACACCTATACAACTACAATTGACTGATTCATACATACAGAGACGTTTTCATTCGTTGCCACAACGTCTCATTACAAGTCTTTCCTTCTAACAGTATGTTTTATCTCTTAAATTCATTCAAACCATTCATACGCTTTGTGACCTTTACAAATAAACTTTACGTTACAGTTTTATGTTTTACGTAAGGGTGTTCTTAAAATGTTTTTTTTTTTTTTTTGTAAAATTTAATATCTCTAATTTAAAACCCACGTCTTCGGGATTCGCTCCCAGACGGTTTAACCTAGTACCTAACTAAGCTAAACGGCTGATTGCAGCACTGACGAAAATCTCAATGTCTTTTACCTACATTTTTTTTCTACACATTCTGATAATATGTCACGATAAGTCAAATTTTGGGCTTAATTGTGTTTTCATTATATTTGCAGCAGATTGGTATTTGGTCTGTATCAGTTTCGTACGTGTAACTGTTATTAGCGATCTATTATCAATTAATTAAATGAGAAGTCCTAGTTTATGGTTTAACTATTCTTGTAGCAAGTTGTTCTATATTCATGCGGTGCAAAAAAATCAGCGCGTCGCAATTGTAACACTAGAGCAGTGTGATCGACCTCGCTTATTTATTTCCGGGCGGGTTGAACGGTCCTCATATGGGTCTTGTAGTGATCGTGGACGCTGTTTCTCTATATCGACTATATTTTCCTCATTTTCCCTTATGTTCTGTACTTCCCTTACTTCTCACTCGTGAACAGTAAGATAAGGCAAATAAGGTTTTAATTGCTATCTCACTAAATATTACTAGTAGTAATTTGTGTATACATGAGAGAATGATTTTTTGAGGAATACTGAGCTTTTCCCCGTGGAATAAGGCAATTGCCAATTTAGGCAAAACTACAGCCACACTTGGCTGGAAGCTCATTTTGCCTTAAAACTAGGAAACATGTCTATGTAGTTTGACTAAACAGAAGTAGTAAACCTTATTTGACCCTGAAAATAAAAGATTTGAATAGGCAAAACATAAGTTACTACCATTAAGTCCATACTTAAGTTACTCAGCCGTCTTCCAAAGGTAAAACATTCTGCTTTAGCTAGTATCTTAAACTATATGCAAACGGTGTGAAATTAAAAGTATCATGCACGTTTGCATGTGTTTATAGGTTATACGACAGTATTAATTTGATTCGTGACGGCTCGGTTTTGATGCGCGGTAGTTTACGAAGCGGGCCGCGATTATAAATATATAAGTGCGTGGCGCGCCTGGCGTGGTGCCAGGGCGGTGGGCGGGCCGGGCAGTCGGTGCCCGGCGGCGGTGTGCAGTGCTCCCTTGGACTGCAGACGGCTGCAGCGCGACTCTCCGCTGTGGCGGCCACGTGCGCTCTGACTGGCCGGTGACCGAGATCCTCCTGCCCAGCGCAGCCCCTCTTCCGGGCGGCCCGTGTCTCAGTTTCGTCTGGAAATAGACCGCCGACTGTTTTCAGTCTAGTGTCGACAGGTACCTTTTAGTTTGGACGGTACACCTCCGTCATTGAGTTTACCTTCATCAGTGGCGTGTACGTGATTTGGTGGGTTTTTGGAATTTGCAACTGCAACAGTTCCTCCTCCGGGTTCAGTTTAGTGATCGTATGACGAAATACCGTCCGGTTCGCATCTTAAAATACCTCGCGCCACCATTCCACGCTCGGCAACGTTCAACGCAAGAGCACGCCCGCTCCAGCAAAACAAACAGCGCGACTGTTTCCAAATTTTCAATTGGAGACTTTTGCTCCTTAAGCAATATTCATATCATCGTATTGTAATAATTGATCGCGGTTGCGTATGTCTCAACAAGTACACCCTTTTATTTGACGTATATATCTATCACTAGTCTATCCTTCTGTCCTTCGATAAAATTGATTATCTTATGAGAAACTAACATTGTCAATTAATGTAAGTATTGTTATGATATCAGGTATCAACATTCTGAATCTTAACATTGAACTGCAATTGCCGAATAATAGAGTTTAGTAGAGTATTTTGAGAGATCGTTAATTTTTTACATTTCACTGACAGAATTAACACTTCTGTTGCACCAGATTGAATGGATTTGGACGATGTAGGGACATTAATTCTAAAAAATATGGTGAACAACTGTCAAAGAATTCGAATCGCATTATAAATGGTTCATGAATTAGATTTAGTGGTTTTGGCTCGTATGTTCGTGACAAAGCTACGACGTGGGAATCCGTTATTTGTTTTAGCACTAATTTAGAAAACGTTTATAAATTACCGAGCGATTAGTTGGCTTGGATTGAGTTTGAGTGTAGATTGCAGTGCCCGCGTCCGATTTTGCAGAGATGGCGGAAGGTGTGGAGACAATGGAGATGCCGGAGGCTGCGCGAGCTGGACCAAGCTCTCGCGCCCTCGACATAGAGCCTGACTCGGAGCCGCGCAGACCCCCTCGCGACCCGCCAATTGTCTTCCGCGACCTCGATGTGAGTTTCTTGTTATCTCATTGGTCCGTTTCAGATTGTCTACATTAAAATTTGTCGGAAGGTACGAAAAGTTTGACGCCGCTGTGGGAATCGAACCCGCGTCTTCAGCATTCGCGTCCTGACGCTTTAGCCATTAAGCTAAACGGCTGATTGCCACACCGACGAAAATCTTAACGTCTTTTATCCACATTGTTTTTTTAGCATTTGAAGCAAATTGTCTACAATGTCAATGCAATCATCTGTAATAAAACCATCATCTGCAATGAAGTCGTCATCTACAAAGCAGGTGATCATGATCCAGGAACTGGAATTATAGATTTTACGTCATCATAAAGTTGGATAAAGTTTTTATGTTTTTTATTACTGATATATGATATATCTTCTCACATCAGATTGTTTTTGTTTTATGGAATTTAACTAAAAAGAATTTAATTTCGTTTCGAGTATACAATATAACAGTGATATTCAATTTTGGAAGTTTTTACTTAACATTTTTGGACAGGATTAGACATCGTCTTTTCACAATTGAAAATCTAGTTCATTGCGAGTGAGGAGGAATGTACTCATGTAAAAGGACATGCAGGAATGTAAAAGTTTTGTGCTGAAAGTACTGAAAAGTTTTGAAATAATGTTGTCACTATTTTTACTTAAATTCTTGCCGATACCATTTTGCAATTATACGACATACAATAGAACATATTTTATAAGCTGCGAACTCCATTGATGGATGACTCCTTGCGAAATGCTGAATTTACAAACACTAATTTAGGGATATTGTTCTCAATTCACCAAGATAACAAAGAATTTGATCACATTCCATATAATTTTTAGGGAAAAGTTTAGGAGACAAATGTGTATATATATTTATATGTACCTATATCTTTTTATTGTCAGTTCACCTTTTACGTCAAACGTTTCGGTTTTCGGCATTCGGAAACTTTCTAGCTACACCCACGGAATTGGACAGGTTTAATATACCCTCATAAATGTCAACTACTGGAACACAATTGGCACGATGTCGTCTTAATCTACGCAGCAGTTACATTTGTATCGTTTAGTATTAACTTCGATCTGGATTTTACTAACGACATATATAACATAGAGTAATCTATGTGTTTAAATTACTATAAATTTTTAGGATAAATTTTTATTTTTTGTGCTAGTCTCTGCACTCGACATGAAACTTTAAATTGTAAAGTTTTGTAGATAAATGAATAAAAATTTACGGCGCTGCGGGATTCGAAGATTCACGATTTCTGGTTCACGCCTAGATTCTTTACCAACTATATCCAAGATTTTGTTCATTTATCTACAAAGATTTACAATTTACTATTAATTTTGATCATAATAGTCTACCTAGTCCAAACTGCGAATAAACTATTTAAAACTGTTTAGTCTAAGCTTTGTTCAGATTTAGATACTAAATTTCCTTTTGAATTATCTTTCGTTTTTATGTTGTTTTGGCTTGCACATATTTTTATCTTTACGTTCCGTGGCGTTCGAGAAAGTAAGATGTTACGTTCACCAGTTTTGACGATGATGTCAACACCGTAGGCGACGCCATTTCGAGTGGAATTCTACTGTGGGTAAATAGCGTGGGCTGGCAGGACTCATTGGGTCGAAAGTGCAATATGTTTGTATGATTAGATTTTCTGAGTTGTAAATAACAAAATACCTTTGTATGAGAAATAGTTTTTCACTTCAAACGAGGTACTTTTGTCAAAATGATGATTCAATAAATTATATATCACAGTGAAGTGTCGAATATCCTCCACTTTATCTGAACACAAATACAGTAATGAAAACAAATAATAATTGCACAATAGTCATCAACTTTGCTTGGAAGACGCAAAAGGCACGCCGGAAAACTGTCTCATTACATATATAATATTTCTTTATTCGAATGGGTGGAACTATAATAAGGTAAAGAATGAAACCGGACGATAGTCGTGCTATGGTGAAGCTGAAGAAGAGAATATGATATGGTAATAATACGGTTATAATATCAGTGTCCTCAAGGGAAGACTGTTAGTGCCTGACTGAGTTAGGGCATCATCTAAGATTGCAACCTACCTTCAATTCAGATAGTAGTCAATACTGGCCAGTATTCAACAGACTGCAATAAGGGTAGATTCTTCTTCCAGAGGTTTTTCGTCTAGGTCTGAATGGTTTGTTTTTATGTTTGTTTCCTCAGAACTCCGTCGTTTAAGATCCGATTTTAAAAATTCTTCTTACGTTTAGTTCGATTTTGCTCCCGTGTGGTCCCTTATTTACTTTAGCGTCGGACTTTGGATTTCGGCGATACGTTAGTGAAGTACACAAAATCAAATAGAAAATTTAAATTGAGTGAGATACTTGAAAACGGTTTTCTTTTACTAAAAATGTTCTACTTTTTGTTTAAAAAACAAGATCACTAAAATTTGCTTCAGCTTTGCGCTCGCAGCGTCTTTAAGAGCTTTTGTTTATTTATGTATTTATTTATACTTTATTGCATTAAAGGATTACTAAAGGCGGACTTGTGACATGTGACATACATTGGCATTCTCTCCCAGTCAACCCGGGGCGCGGAGAGAGATCGTGGTTTTTTTACGGGAGAAAGTGGGAAGTGAGCTGGGGTTTCATCTGATGTTAAGTGATAACCGCCGCCCATGGACATTTGGAAAACCCTTAGGGTTGCAGATGCGTTGCCACCTTTTAATAAAGTGGGCCCCGGCTACCTCACTCACCAGACGAAACGCAGAAGTGTTCCACTTCTCGCCGGTTTTCTGTGAGGTCGTGGTGACTACCCGGACGGAACTGCCTATTCGTGCAACAGACGAAGCTGTTATGTGTGCAATAAGCTAGAAAAGATGCATAAGATTTGTTCTTCGTCGGCGTCAGGGCGCGTCTGAGTTCGAGGCGCTGTCTAAGGCGCTGGAGAAGGCGGACCTGGCCGCGGAGGAGAAACAGAGCCTGGACGAGCTGCAGCAGTACCTCGTCCACGGCGAGGGCAGCTGGGTGCTCGGCGACGAGTTCCTCAGCTTCATCGGTGAGTCGATGTTTGAATGAATGAATGATGAATGAGTGAATGAATGAATGATTGAAATATACTTTATTGTACACTGCAACTGATACCGTATAATCAACAACAATGAACACAAATCTCGCCAATCAAATCAAATATTTATTCATCGAAATAAGAAATGTACATTTCATCTATCGATAGGCATTTTTTTAAATCTACCACCGTTTCATAATGTGGTTCCTCTAACGGAGAAGAAACAGGCGAAAGAAACTCGGTAGGTATCCTTAGAATACAATTGGCGACCTTATCACTAAAAAGCGATTTGTTCCAGAGAACCAAGTATTCGGCCAGCTCATTTGCCATCTTCTTACATACAAAATGACTCTTTTTTCTGTTAAATTAATAAATATTTATTTATTTATTAATTTAACAAGGCTTACCATTTTTTTTTTGGTATCGGGGCGGAAATCTTCCAAAGATACTGGATGATTTCCCTGTCACGTTACATGACAGCGTTATATGAGGATCTTACCCACTAAAAGCCCCTCGTTGGCCACCCTCTGTACGTTTGGAGGGACTCCGGGATCTCCCACGGAACGCCCCGGTGTCCCTCAGTACTGCGCGTGAGCACTCCCCGGAAAGGGATAGCTTCCCCGGTTCCCTCACCATCTTGCAGCAGCTCGAGACCACTTCGAGCTGCTGCCAATCCGTGTCCCCTTTTAGTCGCCTTTTACGACAGGCAGGGAATACCTTAGCCCTATTCTATAAGCCCTAAATACATATAGAAACAATTATTATGAGGTGCACTTAAACATTGTATATATGCATTTAAATTGAAGGTAAACACAACATATAATAAAAGACTTCCTTTAAGGAGAACACACTACAATAAAATAATAAAATTAGAACACCCAAAAAAACCGAATAAATAGAAAAAAGAGAGGAAGGAAAAAAAACTTTTAAATTGAAAAAATATTGGGCTGTGTAATGTGTTAGCACCTTCTTTTAAGCTTAAATAAATAAAAAAAAGAAAAACATCAAAGATAATGCAGGCATTTCGCTGGCCATGGTAGTCCCCGGTCTAGCTGGTCTGTTCTTGCAACGGGATCTGTTATGTAAACTGTTTTTTTAATGATAATAATTTATCCAGTACACTTTATTATGGAACGCCTGATGAAGCCTTATTTATTTATTTATTGTTATGTTTAAATATGAATTTATCGCTTTATTCCATTCCTTTTTTTGTCAATATTAAACTGTTTTTTCAACATAAAACTAGTTTCTATCATTAGATGATATTTTTTCTAGTTCGCGTCTGTTTTAGTTCTTTAGTTACTGATTGGCCAAGCACTGGCTATTGAGCCACTTTATGATATACGGTCGTCAGTGGTGAAGTCATTGAACGCCCTAACAAAGTAGAAGCCATTTCTTTTATACAACGTAACTGTTAAAAATACTTATCACTGGTTGCACTGGTTGCTTTAAATTGGTCCGATTTCATTAAAAAAAAAAAAAAAAAAAAAAAAAAAAAAAAAAACATTTACATTTTAAAATGACTCCGTAGCGCAAACTGTCTTCGGCGGCGGGGTTCGTGGGTTAAATTCCCACACGGGACAAGTATTTGTGTGACCCACAGGTAATCGTTTCGGATCTGTGTATTTGCCCTCGTGAGATTTACACAGTACAAAGCAATCCTACCTACAGTAAGGCCATTGTTTTAAAAAAAGGAGAAAAAAAATTGCTCTTTCGTTTTTATTTCGTGATTTGATTAGGGATCCATTGCATTACCTTATCGTTTATGTTTGTCCGTCGTAAAAAAACTGTTTCCCCCCATCAAAGCCGTCTTAATGTCGAAGCAAATAACAATGAAACGGTTAGAAAAATTATCTCGCCTATTTACTTTGGACGCGCGGCGATGAATGAACGCGACCGTTCCGCGTGTCGTTATCGCGCTAAGTAAACCAGTTCGTTGTGATTTGAGACGTCGCCTTAAGGGGATTTCGTGCGGGTAAATAGTGAAGTACCGTCGTGCCGAGAACAAACAGAGTTTTTCGCCGAAAACGTATTAACACGACAAATAATTGCAAATAAAAAAAAAAACTTAAAGCACATATAGTATTACAACGTACAGGAAACACTGCACGCGTGCCATTCTCAGGCCGTGGTAATATGACTTCGATGCTCTAGTACCAGCTCTAGACCACCAGTCTAGCATCAGTTTTGCGCATGTGCCTACTACTAGTAATTGAGGGTCATGCAAAATTTAAAAGTGCCCCTGGAGTTCGTCTTCCGTGAAGTTTCGTGTGAGCGATATCCTCTGTATTGATCTCTCGTTCGCGCAAAATTCCAAATGCATTCGACGGCACACATGCAAAACTCATGAGTACTTAAGCTTCCTGCGAATTTTTATATTATATTAAGCTTAGTTCGTTATATCCCCTTTTCATCAGACCTATTACGCGCCAATCGCTTAAGCTATCACGTGTTATTTGCTATCTAAATCTACTCTGGAAGGGTTAAAGAAACCGTTTCATAAAAGTACTGAATGCGTTTAAGCTACAACCTACACTGTAATTGTTGGTTCATTAGACAAATTCTGACATACAGGCTTGCTCTTCAAACTGTTTGCATTTAACATGTTATATAGGCTCGTGCACACCATCCGAGACTTTCCGTTGAGTAGATATTTTCGATGCACAATAAAGGGAACTTACTTACCAACGCCCACTAAGGCTGGGAGTCACTCAATGCTCCTGCCTCTCTCCCTTGCTCTTTTCGCTCTACACAAGTGCCGTTCCCAAAGACCCACAGAAAGACCTTACTTGAGGATATTTCCTTGTTCTATTCGAACAAATATCTTGGCTTAATGACTGTTCCCTTTCAAAAGTCCGCCAATTTCCTTTGTGTATGAAAAATTCCACTCGGGCACTACCTTGCCTGTCCTTCGCTTTTATCAAGCTTGTAGGACTCGGCTATCCCACAAGCTTGGCGTTCGGTGAATCTTTAGTAGTCGAATAGAACGCAAAACCTGTTAGCCTGCTCACAAACATCATATTCCATTGATCACAAATGCATGTGAACACAATATACAAATAAATATACAATTCCGATACAGTTAGCTTTCATATGATTTTGGGTTTGTCTACACTCTCCTATTTAAAAAATCTAGAATAGTAATGGGTCAAATAGGAGGGTTGTTGACGGACCAGTCGCTGAGAATGAATCTATACACAGCCTGCTGGGCAGATTACTGCTGTGTATAGAGGTTATAAGTCTGCATTGAATAACGGATATTAATATAGTAGGACAACCAATACCTCCCAGCGAAGTCGGGTAATCGGGAACGACGTAGATAGCCCTGGGACGGTTATTGCATATTGGACAGTAAGATAGGGATGTGAAAAAATAATGGATTTTTGTATTAATCGATTGTTTTTTTCTTACAATCGAATTTGCAAAACGATTTTTAATAAATCGATTATATCAATTTCACTTTATAAGCGATTTTGTAAACAGAGCCACCTGTATGTAGGTAGAGTTACGTTCGTAACAGATTTGATTCTAAAAAATTGTTAAATGGCATTAACCATTTTTGGCAAAATTATTTTATTTTTTTATTTTTTAAAGTTTTTTAAAGTTTTTTCTTTATGATTTTAGTTATGAAACCAGAAGGTTGTTTAGGTTATTTTCCATACAAATCAGTGTTATTTGATTTTCATTCTGATAAACTGTTAACAGTGCAGTTGTATTGGTGTACAGGCATTTATCGAATATGTTTTTCCGAATTAAATTTTTGGGTGGGGTATCGTCAGGTCGCTTATTGACGGACCAGTCGCTGAGCGGCGAGGTGCGCCGCGCCACCCTACGGTGCCTGGCGGCCGCCGCGCTCAGGGACGACGTGTCCCTGATCCTGCACCAGGACAGGCGGCACCACGCGCTGCTCGGCTACGCGCACTCCGTGGACGGGCTGCCGCCGGCGGAGCAGCACGCGCTGGCCCTCTTCGTGAGTGACCCTCTTGAATACGACACGTCTCCTAGGTCGCAGCGGCACATGTAACGGGCTGCTCCGGCCGGCTGAGTACCAGAACCCCTGGAAGATAGACGGAAAGTGGAACTGGTTACGCTTCGGCGTTTCGTCTGTTGAGCGGGGTAGTTGTGGCCCAACTTTATTGTAAGGTACGCATCTCCCACCCTACGGGTGTTGCAAGTGTCAATCGGCGACGGTTATCGTTTAACATGTGGGAACCGCCAACTCACATAAAAAATAAAGGCCATCCACGTTATACTGCAAAGTTATTTGTATCTTCCAGTAGTTCACCCGTTGATCGAAATAATGTTTTACACTGTTGCTCTTTGAACTTCCCTGCGGGATTAAGCGGGCTCTTTCGTGCAAAATACTCGCGCGGTCACTTCATTCATACTAAAAAGCTCTTTGCCAAAAACATACTTTTAAAACTTGCACCAAAACACTGAAAGTCGCGAGTATTTTTCCTTCTTTTTTTATGTGAGATGGCAAGCGAGCTTGCGGCTTACCTGATGCCAAGTGATAACCGCCGCCCATGGACACTTTTGTAACACCCGTAGCGTTGCAGTTGCGTTGCTACATTTTAATTAAGTAAACTCCGATTACCTGCAGACGGTCCTTTGTGAGGCCGCGGTTCCTCCGGTCCGGACCTGCCCATTCGTGCAACACCAAAGTCATAATTTTTTTTTGAGTTAAACAAAACACATATAACCTATTCAAATGCCTCTTTCGATATTGTTCAAGTGGCCTATTAAGTCATCACCAATCACTTGAGAAATTGGTAAAGTTTTTTAGTACATGCCCTGTTTGAAATCTCTGTGTACGCCGCTAAGCGGCCTTAAAGTATTCGAATTCAAATATCTTCACATAATATATAAGCATTACTTACTTAACGATTGTCAAAAAACGATACTGCCGGTTCGGGAAAAAAGTCACTGAGCTGAGAAGAACCGGCGAAAGAAGCTCGGCGGGTATTTTTTTTTAAAACATAATTAGACAAAAAAATAACAAACATGTGTACAATTTATTAAATTCCACCTGAAAGAGCCTGGAGCGTTTCATTTCGAGAGTGTGCTATCATTCAAACAATCACTAATACTTATAAATACCCTTTAATATACAAACGGTCCTTCAAGTTACGTTGCATTTAGCAACTGATTCATTTCGAACGTTTTCCGCAATTTTGTTTTAAAAGCGCATACATTGTCCCATAAAAGATTCACTTATTATACGCAATGACTTGATGACTCCGTGGCGCAGTGGCCAAGGTGTTGGCTTCGGCGTCGGGGGTCGTGGGTTCGATTCCCACACGGGACAACTATTTGTGTGACCCACAGATAGTTGTTTCGCATCTGGGTGTTTGTCCGCGTGAAATTTATGTTTGTAAAACGTCCTTACAGCACAGGATAAAGTTATCCTAAAGTAAGGGCAATGTTTTTAAAAAAAAAATCTACAAGTAATACAATTTTCTCACGGTAGATGTGTAACCTGTTCGAGCACGCTTCGTCATCCGAGTGGCTGCTTTACATCAGCGAGTGGGAGGCGAACGGCCACCAGCTGTCCAACATACGCGTCACGACCAAGGTATATGGCGACCACTTCGAAATTAACACCTCAGTGTTGTCAAGGGAAAAAAACGCCACAGACCGGAGAAGAATCGGCGAGAGAAAGTGGGACAGTTTTTTTTTACCGTTATTCGCCAAAAAGAGCCTGCCAATTGAAAGAGCCTGGAGCGATGATTTCATATTATAACAGCCTTTGTGACACAAACGTTCCTTTATAATTCTTGATGTTATATCCTTATGTTAGATTTTCAACTGATCGGTTAAGAGATTTTTTTTTTATGAAAACATTACTTCATTTGGTCATGACATTTTCAAAGCCCAATTTTAAAAAGGTTATCAACGCATCTGTAACACTCAGGTGTGGCAGATGTCCATGGGCGGCGGTATTCACTTAACATCAGGTGAACCGTCTGCTCGTTTGACATCTTTTCACATAAAAAAAAATGTTTATTCCATTTTTCGTCAATAGCCGCATACAAGAGCTTTAAAATAGTGTTTGAATGATTTGATTTGATGGAGAATTGTTGAAGGTCGACCTTTGACAAATAATATATAAGAACAGTGAAATCAATGGAGTCTCCTTCACTCGAGAAGGCTGGAAGTGAATCGATAGAGTCCTTCATTTATTTCACAGTCCACTGGCGGTTCGACCGATGGTAAGTGATAACCGCCGCCCGTGGACATTTGCAACACCCGTTGCGTTGCAGATGCGTTGCCAGGGCTCAACAAAGTGGGCCCCGGCTACCTCACTCACCAGACGAAACTCGGAAGCAAAAGTCTTCCACTTGACGCCGGTCTTCTGTGAGGTCGTGGTACTTACCCGGGTACTTGCCCATTCGTGCAAATAGGCACACTGTTGCTATATATGTATATATATATATATATAATTATTATTTTTATTATTTTTAGTATATATTAATGATCTCCCCTTTTATGCCAGTGGGTTGTGTGATGTTGTACTGTTTGCTGACAATACATCGCTTATTTTTAAAGTTGACCGAAACGTATTAAATTATGACGACGTGAATAGTGCACTTTCACATATCCTCCACTGGTTTACTATTAATAATATGGTATTAAATGCCAAAAAAACCAGATATATTCTTTTTACCCTTCCCAGTATAAGAAGGAAAAGTTTTAGTTTAATATTAAATAACGTACCCATTAATCCAGTTGAGTCTGCTATATTTCTGGGAATTACAGTAGATTCAAAGCTCCAGTGGAGTCCCCATATATCATCTCTTGCGAATAGGCTGAGCTCCGCGGTTTTTGCGATTAGAAGGGTTAGGCAGCTAACAGACATCGACACTGCCAGACTTGTTTACTTTAGTTATTTTCACAGCATCTTGTCTTACGGCATTTTGTTGTGGGGTAGTGCATCAGATATAAATTCTATATTTATTCTTCAAAAAAGAGCTGTCCGAGCAATCTACAATATCGGAGCCCGGAATTCACTCAGAGATCTTTTCAAAGAGGTTAATATACTCACTGTTGCTTGTCAATACATTTATTGTAATGTTTTGTATATACGTCATAACCTTAATTATTACCTAAAGAATAGTGACAGACATAAAAAAAACACTAGAAATAAGGACAAACTTACTACGCCATTGTTTCGTCTACAAAAAGTAAATAAGTCGTTCATGGGGCAAAGTGTGCGCATGTATAATAAAATCCCACAGTCGATATTAAGTCTGCCGCTTGACCAATTTAAATGTAAAATTAAAAATCAACTGATGATTAAAGCATATTATACCATTTCGGAATATCTCGACGACACCAATGTGTGGAGTTAATACTGTTGATACTCACGTAGGCTAGAATAAGACTATTATACCTGTATATTATATTGTACCCTGATATTTTTGAAAAAGAGCAACTGTTGAGTTTCTTGCCGGTCTCTTCTCAACAGAAACCGCTTTCCGAACCGGTGGTACCTTACGAACGTATACACATAATCTTTGATGTAAAATTTGACGATTCATAAGAGCTCGCAAGCGTCTATTTGAATAAATATATTTTTGATTTTGATTTTGATATATAAAAAAAGGAAAGTAAAGTAACAGCCTATACATGTCCCACTGCTGGGCAAAGGCCTCCTCTATACAGAGGGTATCAGGACATAGTCCACCACGCGGCCCCACTGCGGATTGGCGGACTTCACATATCTTCGAAATAATTTTTTTTTTGTTATTATTTCGAAAATATGCAGGTTTCCTCACGATTTTTTCCTTCACCGCGGAGCACGTGATAAGTCAGCACTTAAAGTTAAAAACTTCATTTGTGCCGGCACCGGGGATCGAACTCAGGTTGCTCGAGTATATTGAATTAAAGGCGAGCGCCCGGACTTTGAGCTATCACGGCTCGATATATATATATATATATATATATATATATATATATATATATATATATATATATATATAAACTGTGTTTGTCAGGTGTGCGTGCATTGCGCGCTCAGCGAGGAGGCGGAGTTGCGCGACGCGGGAACGGCGTTGCTCTACAACGTGGCCACCAAGGAGGTAAAGACCGTGGTCGGTATCGCTCTGTCTCTTTTGCACCCTTGCTCGCTGTATACTCACTCTATCACTCCATCGTTCACTCGACGATTCATTCGCAAACCATTCGTTCTACGATCGCCACTCATTTTTTCTTTTAACGAATGATTCTTAACCTTCTCGTTCATTTGCAGATCGAATTCACTTTTCGATAATAATATTATTTCACACTTACCGTGAGCATTGAACTACCGTAAGTGCATGTTTCACGCACAATGATTACTTTTTGTATGTTATTTATTTCAATAGCGGATGCAGTTGTAATAACAACAGTACGCGTGAGTTATTATGAATATTTTTTTAAGAAATATATATTCATTAAAAAAATGCACTTACAAAGAAGATGCATTTACTATTTTTCATAAATCATGTTGAATGATTTATTCAAAACAGTAAATGCTTCTTCCTTATTTAATAATGTATATGACAGGTGTCGGATAAACTTTTCTAGGTAGGTATGTGAAGGAAAAAATCGGTGCAAAAGTGTTAGTTTTAAATGATGTCTATATAAGAGTCGACAGACTTCTTATAAGTGATTGTTTAAGGTTTACTTAGGTAGTTAAATCTTTCAGGGCGTCCTGAACGATATTACCTGGTCGTATATACAGTTAAAATAAAGCCTGTGAAGGAGAATTTAAAAGTGGAACATATAGAACAAAACGAATAATAATCAATTATATATGGTTTTATTTCTACGAAAAGCGTAGTTGTAGGGATATGCCAAATATCTCAATGTTTCGGGAGATTTTCTATATTGATGACCCGAATGGCGTGGGGAGTAGTTACCCTGCATCTTGCGTCAGAGGGTGTGGGTTCGATCCCCACTACTGGAAAAATATTTTGTGATGAACATAGTGTTTTTCTAGTGTCTGGGTGTTTATATATGTATGAAATGTATTTATTTATAAAAGAAAAGTATGTTTATCGGCTATCTAGTACAAGCGTTGCTTAGTTTGGGACTAGAAAACGTTCTGTAAAAATGTGTCCTAAAATATTTATTTATTTATTTATAGATAATTGTAAAATGCGTTGTCATTAAATATAAATCAAAAAGCCTTTCTAAGGCGAAGCTGAATGTTTAATATTAGAAGTTGCAATAAAGGTTAATGCATATAATTCTGCACAATTAACATCGGTTATACAGATAATTTTAGCACGTGTATGGGTGTAGTGATTAAGTGAAAACATACATACATATGTATATTTTTAGTATAAACCGCCCGCTCGTTTGCAAACTTCTCACGTAAAAAAAATCCGGCCAGGTGAGAGTTGGACTCGCTCACGATGGGTTCCGTAGCATTGTATAAAAACGGCAAAAAACATGTGTTTTGTATGGAAGCCTCACTTAAATATCGTTTTAGTATTTGTTGTCAAAGCGGCAACGGAAATACATCATCTGTGAAAATTTCAACTGTCAGACCGAAAGACAGACAGACAGCGAAGTCTTAGTAATTGGATCCTGATAAAGCATCTTTCACATGTCATTGGCGAATTCATAAAAGCGCCATAAAGGAAAGAAGAAGAAGTAGTAATTGGGTCCCGTTTTGCCCTTTGCATACGGAACCCTAAAAATACGACGCCGCTTTCATCTGCGAGAACACTTCGGAACGGCCAAGATATACTGAACTGTTTACGCTCCGCATTACGTGTTATTAAGGGCGATTATGGCGTGCCGCGAAAACGATTACACTTCCCTGTTTGCATTACGCTGACGTTGACGTTATAATTCGCCTCATAAAACTGTCCCATGTAGTTTTGATGAATGGGACATGCCCGTCTTTCGTAACTTGCGATTGACGTCCGCATTTCCATACTGCGATATTTTAAAATCTTTCAATGGATATCTACCGTCTTCTACGTAATACTGGCCGTTGTGTGACTTACAAATATTGTTTAAACATTTTTTTAGCATCTTTTGCAAAAGAAGCAATCAGTGACAATGACTTTACTACTCTCTAAACGCTGATGCAGCCATGAAGGTTAAAAAGGTTAGGATAGCCCATTCGGTTTACATACATATATTTATATATATAAGTTAAGTTAAGTAACAGCCTATACATGTCCCACTGCTGGGCAAAGGCCTCCTCTATACAGAGGGTATCAGGGCATAGTCCACCACGCGGCCCCATTGCGGATTGGTGGACTTCACATATTTTCGAAATATATTTTTTTTGTTATTATTTCGAAAATATGCAGGTTTCCTCACGATGTTTTTCTTCACCGCTGAGCACGTGATAATTCAGCACTTAAAATTGACAATTTCTTTTGTGCCGGCACCGGGGATCGAACTCAGGTTGCTCGAGTATATTGAATTAAAGGCGAGCGCCCGGACACTGAGCTATCACGGCTCTATATATATAACAGCTTATAATCGAAAAGGAGTAAAAACTAAGTTTTAACAGTTAGTCGAGAATTTAGGAAGCAGATAATTTTCGACGTGATCCGTCCTGACGAATTAGTGAAACGGCAATCATTTTCAGAGACGGACCGTGCGGAATCAGCTATCTCTATCTATCTCGTTAAGCTTAAAGTACTTAAGCCTGTGCGAGGAGAAAGAAACACGATGTATCGTAAAATAACTCCGCCCGAGGATTAATAAACAATTCTGTACGTCTCCGGCGCATTTCATCCTAATTCGGTGGAAAACCTGCGATATATACGGAGCGGGCGCATATGTTTGCCCGAGATTGTGACAGATGTGACTGACAGGTGTGCTCCGTTGAAAAAATAATACGAATAAATTCGCCGTGACAGCTAACACATGCTGTCGACGTGGATCCGTTCGCAAATAGCGTGTTTGTTTGCACGCTTTCGTCCATTTACACGCCGACATCTACAGAAATCGGTCTGGAATATTCCATAGCTAAGTTTTAGACCATATCTTCGCTCTCTACGCTAGGAACTATGTAACGCTTCGTACGGAGAGAATGCTGCCTGAAAAATAACCTTTTGAATGTTACCTTTCGTGACTCGACGCATGCACCATTTTGGATGCTCCCGTCTCTTTGTCTCCGCCGTCGTACTGTTTGTCATTCACCTATGTTGCAATTGGTGGCATGGCGAATAGGAGGGCGAATTCCGCCACAGCGCCTTCGGAATCCATCTGTCTATCTGTTTAGAGGTCAAATTATTGGTTCGAGCTCGGAACTCCAATGATGTCGCGAGGTCCGCAAAATAAAGCAAAAGTTGCATTCACCATAGAAAAAGTCAGTCAACATTTCTTTATTCAATATTATTTTAAGCTCTCATTGCACTCCAAGAAACTAGCACTGGTTCACAAAACCTAGACCTGTCTAGAGAAGAACCGGCAAGGAACACTGCGGTCTTGTTATCTTGAAAAGGTACACACAGCGGTTAATGATTATTGTAATACTAAGGGATGGCTCAAATTAGTTTGGACAACTAATCTAAACTGTAGATTTTCCCTTATGGCACTATGGTTGCTACCGCGTTCTTAAGCTGTATAAATGCGCGTACGACATCGAGATGGAAGAGAGAAAGAGGTGTGCGATGTCGAGATGAAAGAGGGAAAGAGATGCAGCAGAGTATTGTTGCAGCGGCTGGGCGCCTACAGGGTGGTGCGTAGCCGAATGCCGCCCACTGCCAAATCCAAGGTACCGTCCCCGGCAGACCGCTCCCGAACCAACAGCAATACCATCAGAGGCCATTTCATTCGTCACTAGGCCTTCCCATTCGGTTTAAGTTGATCTCGCCGGAGTAAGTAATTGGCATTTCGAATCGGACATATTGTACTGTTTGCATGTCGTCGTCATTAACAAGCATTTCCCGCAACGGAAGTAATAATATCAGTAACGAATCCAAACAGACCACTCCCGAACCAACAGTCATATCATCAGAGGCCATTCTAATTCTCACGATGCTACGCCTTCCCCCATTTTAGGTAGACTTGATCTCGCCGGAGTAAGTATTTCGTATTTCGAATAGGACAAATTCACCCGTTTGCATGTCGTCGTCATTAACAAGTAATTCCCGCAACCGAAGTAATAATATCAATAATCGATTCAAACAGACCACTCCCGAACCAACAGTCATATCATCAGACGCCATTCTAATTCTCACGATGCTACGCCTTCCCCCATTTTGGGTAGACTTGATCTCGCCGGAGTAAGTATTTCGTATTTCGAATAGGACAAATTCACCCGTTTGCATGTCGTCGTCATTAACAAGTAATTCCCGCAACCGAAGTAATAATATCAATAATCGATTCAAACAGACCACTCCCGAACCAACAGTCATATCATCAGACGCCATTCTAATTCTCACGATGCTACGCCTTCCCCCATTTTGGGTAGACTTGATCTCGCCGGAGTAAGTATTTCGTATTTCGAATAGGACAAATTCACCCGTTTGCATGTCGTCGTCATTAACAAGTAATTCCCGCAACCGAAGTAATAATATCAATAATCGATTCAAACAGACCACTCCCAAACCAATAGTCATATCATCAGAGGCCATTCTGATTCTCACGATGCTACGCCTTCCCCCATTTTGGGTAGACTTGATCTCGCCGGAGTAAGTATTTCGTATTTCGAATAGGACAAATTCACCCGTTTGCATGTCGTCGTCATTAACAAGTAATTCCCGCAACCGAAATAATATCAATAATCGATTCAAACAGACCACTCCCAAACCAATAGTCATATCATCAGAGGCCATTCTGATTCTCACGATGCTACGCCTTCCCCCATTTTGGGTAGACTTGATCTCGCCGGAGTAAGTACTTCGTATTTCGAATCTGACAAATTCACCCGTTTGCATGTCGTCGTCATTAACAAGTAATTCCCGCAACCGAAGTAGTAATATCAATAATCGATTCAAACAGACCACTCCCAAACCAATAGTCATATCATCAGAGGCCATTCTGATTCTCACGATGCTACGCCTTCCCCCATTTTGGGTAGACTTGATCTCGCCGGAGTAAGTACTTCGTATTTCGAATCTGACAAATTCACCCG